AAACACTGAAAGTATCCTTGCAAACTTAATATTGATGCTTACAAAATAATTATATTTAACGCACATGGGATTAAAAAGGGGTCACTGGAGATTGTAAACGACTGAAAAAGACATGTAGAAGCATGACATTGTCCATATAAAAGAGCTGACCAAAGCAAGATTGGAATAGACTGATGGTTGAAGTCTATAACATCCTCCTCGCGAAATACCAAGCTAAACTGTTTCAAAAATATATTTAGTGCTTGCATAAGAAACCACTAAAAGTGTCAATGAACAGTACGTACTTCAGGAAAAAATAAATCCGATGTTGCGGAAATTAATAATAATTTTACATATAATTGAACCGAATGCCTTCTAACTGTTGTGTAAATGAATTGAATAGACATTCACTTGTACATATCCAGTTATGAAATACTCACAAATGTCTGCAAAACTACAATTTGAAAGATTTTTGAAATACAGCTGTAATGTAGTGAAATGTAGCTAAATACTGCTGACTCGGCTTTAACTAACAAATAATTGATTAGTCCATTCCATTTTGATCAAACAACCGCATATTATTAATAACACCATAACAAAATGATAAAAAAAAACCACTTTATTAGTAGAAAAATTAAAATCATGGACAAAAAGTTAAAAAAAAAATGTTAATAATTCTAGAGACACTCCATTCTTGAAATATAAAAAAACCCCACACACTATGATTAGAATAGAATACTTTCAAGGCAAGACAAAACCACCATCCTTTAATCCAAAATATGACTATTAAATGAATTCATTCTGAATATAAGCGATTCTGAGTCCCCTACCGCAGTGTTGTTTATTCCCTTAAAAATATTAAGAGAAAAAATATTATTGAACGTATAGCACAGATGAGTCCAAGGGCCTTAATTCCATTAAAAACTATTGAAGCGGAACGAAATACAAACCTTCTCTGTAATTCATCAAGGTTGACGTAAACAAACAAAACCGATCAAAATGTTAAATTTTTCTGTAACTCGTAAAGGTAGACTAATCAGCTCAGTATCTGAAAGAACTGCGAACGATTATTGTTCTGCCGCCTACCTCCAAGTCAAATTTCAAAAGTTAACATATTTAAATGATTTTTCATATTTATATAGAAATTTATGTAAATTTTCATAAAACATAACTTATCAGGGAAAACAAAGAGAGATAACTCTATAGTTTTGGTAAAAATTGCGTTTTTCACTTTAGAAATCAACGAAAAACGGAAAATATTTTAAAAACAACTTTCCCCGCCCCCTGTGAAACAAAAATTCCTTTGTATGGGTTGTATGAATCGTTATTTCACAAATTCATACCAAATCTTTTGTTGTTTTACGGGGGGTGGGGGCGGTGGGGTGGGGGTGGGGGGGTATGTTTAAAGACAAAAAAAATGGGAAAATGGTCCTTTTATATCCAATTTCAAATGAGATTAAAGTAAAATAAGGTCTTTTATCAATCTTTTATTTTGAATTTTACAAATTAAGTTAAACATACGGAAAGTTTTATGGATCATTTATCCATTTCCATACGTTTTTTGAAAGTTTTTTTAAAGCCTTATTTCAATAGATAAAGTTTTCAACCCCCTTTTGAAAAGAGTCGTAAATAAAAGCAATTAAGTTTTTGGCACTTGTTTTAAAATTATTAATGAACTCTTCTTTGCATTCAGTTAAGTTTTAATGACCAAACTGCCATTCATATTGAATTAAATGGGTGTAAAATGAAGGCGGGAATCGAGAGTTTGCGTGCATGGTTCTTTCTAAGGATGTAATTCCGTCAAAAATCATCTAAGCGGATTGAATTGCGAACTCAACAAAATGCCCATGGACGACATCGCTCACCTGAGCACTTTGGTTAGAAAAAAGCAGAAATAGTTCAATACTGAAAAGTTTAAATATAAAGATGGTCCCACCCTACCCCCGGGGGTGATGACTTGAGCAAAGTTGCTTCCTTACTAAAATGACTAAACATGGCTTTGTTGTTCTTGAGAAGTTTTTAAAGGATTTTTTTTATATATTCCCACGTTCAACTTTGATTACCTAATGTGGCCCCATCCTATCCCTGGGGGATATGATTTGAACAAATTTGAAGCCACACTACCTGAGGATAATTCTTTATTAATATGACTAATCATGGTGTTTCTGGTCATCAAAAAATAATTTACAGTGTATATATTTTTTCTTATATGTTCCTGTATAACTTTGATCGATGTGTTCCCATTTCGCCTTACTGTGAAATAGAGGTAAGAAAATGATAAAAAGTTCTAAGGCGAAGTGGGAATTTGATAATTCCTCTGTAAAAACAATAATGAAAATTGATTATAATTATGTTTGTTTTACTGATAAGTTAATGACACAGTTTAAAAAGCAATATCTGGGATGTAAAATGAAAAATTAAATAATATTAGTAATATGTAAATATTATAACTGGCCTCTGGAGTAATTTAACATTGAAAGATAAAAAAAAATGAAATCAAAAATGTGAATTATTTGATTGATGCAGCTCCTGAGAAAACACTAAGTAGCTTTAATATTTATTTTGTAAATTTTAAATTTTTAAATCAGCCATTACCAGTAGTATTTTTTATGCCTTTATATAAACTTATAATAAGTCTTTTAACTTAACTCTTTTTAAATCAATTTTTTCCTAGTTTTTGTAACATTTTTCGCAAAATTTTTACAAAATTACTCTTTTTCACCGTGATCAAATAATTAATCTTTGAATTCCTGCTATACAAAGCAAACAATACTTATACAAATAATTATATGTTTACACAGATTCCCATATCGCCATAATACATCCCAGAAGGTACTAAGGCGAATTGGGAATAGCAAATTTTATACAGCTAAGGCGAAATGGGAACAAACCCTTTGATCACCTGTTGTGGTCCCGTCCTATCTGGGGATCATGATTTGAAAAAAAAAAAAAAAAAAACAACCAAAAACTAAAAACTTAAATTTACACTATCTGGGGATACTTTTGCATTATTATTACTAACCATGGCTTTGCTATTCTTGAGAAGAAAACTTTTAAAGATTTTGTCGATTTATTCCTTAAAGTTTGTAAAACTTTGTTCACCCATTGTGGACCCATCCTTTTCCGATAAGGTCAGATACTTCTGAAAGAAATTCCTATATGTTTCTGTGTATAACTTTGATTCCCTGTTGTGGCCATATCCTGACCTTGGATGGGGGTGGGTGGGTCATGATTTGAAACAAACTGGAATCTACACTATGTAATGAAGCTCTCACATAAGATTCAACTTTTCTAGACTAATGGTTTTTGAAAAGATTTTTGAAAGATGCCATTAAATTGTCACAAATACTTAATTATCTCCCCTTAAAAAAGAGCGTGGTCCTTATTTGAACAAAATTGAATCCACTTTACCATGGCTTTGCTCTCCTTGAAAAGATTTTGACTATTTATTCCTTAAATTTGTAAAACTTTGTTCACCCATTGTGCATGGGAAAAAATAATGGCATATGTGCATTAAACCAGGAGGGGACTGCTTTAAAAAATAAATACTAAAACCCAATTTGTTTCTTTTATTGAAGTTATTCAGTTAGTTTGCGAACTGTTTGATCATCCCTCGTGTATTAAATTTTCTAAACTCAAAGGCAGTAATTCCGCTAAAAATCATCGAAGCATAACAATATAGAATTTGTTAAGTAACTTACAAACCGGAAACTCGCATAATTTCTGCAAACGCTTAGATAAAAATCTGGAAAACCAAGTGAGAAATAGTGACTGACAGAAAGACAGGTAGAAGGACAGACAGATAGATGGGCAGGTGGAAAGGAAATCTGCAGGTTGCACAACAGTATTAAATTTTGCTATATATTCTTATATAAAATTGCGCAATTTTGAGTAGGTGGTCTTAATTCAAAACAAACTTTTGAGAGGTTTCCTTTTCAGATCTTGTAATACAATTCTTTATAAAGATTTTATTACCAAGAAATACATAGCCGTGCATCCAGCAAGGCACGCAAGTTTATTTCGGTCGAAGTCGAGCAGGTCTTGAAAATCAAATTCAGGAACTAATCACTCCCCACTCAAATACAGTATATAGAAAAATCAGCACGCCTTTAATTATAATAAATCTGGTCAATACAGGAAGTTTACATGTACATATAGCTTTTCAACTCATAAAAAACAAGATGTGTTTGTGAAACACTGATGCCCCCATATGGCAGCTTATGGCGAAGGTTAAAGTTTCTCATATGCAAGTCAAAATCCAGGCCAAAAGATAAAAAATGTTTAATTTGAAAGCCCTAGCTGCAACTGTTAAAAAGTTATGGCGAAGGTTAAAGTTTTTTTAAAAGTAAGTAAAACATTAAGGTCAAGGTCAAAGTTGTTGGTATCAAAAGGAAGGTCTTGTCACAAGGATTACATATGTAAAGTATGAAAGCCCTGGCACCAACCATTCAAAAGTTATGGCCAAGGTTAAAGTTTTTCAAAAGTAGGTCATACTCCTATGTCAAAGTTAAAGGTCAGAGTGGTTGGTATCCAAAGGAAGGACTTGTCACAAGGATTACATATATGAAGTATGATAGCCCTAGCACCAACCATTCAAAAATTATGGCCAAGGTTAAAGTTTGTCAAAAGTAGGTCAAACTCCTATGTCAAGGTCAAAGGGTCAAAGTGGTTGGTATCCAAAGGAAGGTGATGTCACAAGGATTACATATGTGAAGTATGAAAGCCCTAGCATCAACAATTCAAAAGTTATTGCCAAGGTTAAAGTTTTTCAAAAGTAGGTCAAACTCCTATGTCAAAGTTAAGGGTCAAAGTGGTTGGTATCCAAAGGAAGGTCTTGTCACAAGGATTACATATATGAAGTATGAAAGCCCTAGCACCAACCATTCAAAAATTATGGCCAAGCTTAAAGTTTTTCAAAAGTAGGTCAAACTCCAAGGTCAAGGTCAAAAGGTCAAAGTTGTTGGTATTCAAAGGAAGGCCTTGTCACAAAGAATACACATGTGAAGTATGAAACCCCAAGCACTAACTGTTCAGAAGTAATGGCCAAGGTTAAAGTCTCACAAAATTTTGCAAAAGTGGGTCAAACTCCAAGGTCAAGGTCAAATATGATGGTATCCAAAGAAAGATCTTGTCACAAGGAATACACATGTGAAATATGAAAGTCATAGCTTCAACCAATCAAAAGTTATGGGCAAGGTTAAAGTTGACAACAGACAGACAGATAAACAGACAAACAGATAAACAGACAGACAGGACAAAAACAATATACCCCCGGGATCTTTCGATCCAGGGGCATAAAAATTCAGCTCCAGTCAGGTTCCAAAATGGGAGATTCAGGAATCATTTTGCGTCAGCCATTTTTTGACATGAACCTCAACTGAAATACATGTACTGTTATGACACCTTAAGTTCCCTCTGTTTCACCAGTAGGAGATAACATGTAACAATATGAATGCAATCTACAATCCACAAATGAAGGGAAACAAAGAATATCGATCATGTTGATATGGAACGTAAATTTGTGCATGACAAGTTTACCACTATATTTGCATTATTTTCATCGTAGGATAATTAATTGAAATAAAAGAACTACAGTGTTTTTGATATTATTGACCCCCCAAAAAATAATAAAATAAAAGAAAGAAAAAAGAGAAAAAGAAAGAAATAAAACACTCAAGATAATTTTCCCGTAAGGACATTTTGGCTAGTTTCATTTCCACGGGGGTGTGGTGATTGTTGTATAACCATTGATTTTGTTTTCAGTTTCTTTCCACAAGACAACGTAGAGGACAATAAAGACGACTGCAGAGAGGATACCGACTCCAAGCGAGGTAAAGGTCAGCCCTTTAGCCAAGCTGGCACTGGATCGCCCACCTTCGTAGTCACCAACATCAAAACGGGCCCTTGCCTGACAAGTAAGAATAACGAATATATCAACTGTTGAAACCTGTGGATATACCAGCCATTTTAAGCTTCAGATGTTTTTGTTAGAAATTCATTTTTCTCTTCTATTTAATAATTAAATTATTGAATTTTCTCTCCATCACAAAGCTATAAAATCAGATAACACTCTCATGTCCTAAGAGTGAATTTATAAATATACTTAGTGAATAAAAATTTGGGTCCTTAACATATAATGTAAAATACTGATTCATCCACAAAATAGACTTATGCACAAGTATTTAAGACATCAAACCCTTTTGTGCAATTACACAAACATAAAAAAGACTCAAAAATACACACGTATGTCATTGAAGAACCCGAAGAAACGCTGCTATTGTATATGATTGTATAATTTCATTTTCTACATTAAGAAGATAAACATCGTACATTGACGGCTGCAGTGATAGCACAGATCCCAGTAGGCCAGAAACAGCAGAGACAGGAAAGAATGGCGGGCACCAGCCAGTCGTTTCCTCTTGGTGCAGCAACCACGATGTATGTAGGGGCACTGGTGACCTACAAAGTTAAATAATTATTATCAATCTTTGTAACAAGATTAACGTTTTTCATGTAAATTTTATAAAATTTTATACGGATGATAAGATTAGATGCTATGTTGGCACTGTGTTGAATTTCAATAACGATCCGCGGCTTAATATAGAATTACTTTCATTATGTGAAAGAAGAAGGTACTGTTTCATTACAAATCTGACCTTGTATTTTTTGTGAAATATGAAATTGTGAGAAATAAAAACTCATGCTTCCTGAATTGTTCAAACTCCATGCAATAAGATGATACAAGTCGTTTTTCTTATAATTTTATGACCTACTAAATGATAATTGAACTTGTGCATTTTCCCGTATTTTTTTCTTTTAAATGTTACAGAAGACATAAATTTTCAGTGGAATTTTCTTTCAGACAATATAGACCACATGCATCGCCCACAAAGATTTTAAGAAATGTGATTTTTACACAACATATCCAAAAATTAAAGTGGGCAACGACTTGGGCACTACTTTTTAAAAGGAAAATAGACCCTTAAATCAGTCATTTTGAGTTTTTTTTTTCTGTTTTAGATTGAAAAATGTAACAAATTAATGACGTCATATTTCCGGTCCGGTCCTTCTCTATATTAAATTCTTTCATGATTTATCACTTTCATATATTCAACTTGCAGCAAATTTCAAAACGTTTTGAAAACCTCAAATTTTTAGGGTAATAAATCAAAAACAGTACCCTCGTCTTTGTATCGGGATTCAACAATTTAAACTACATGTATATGTGCTTTGAGATTAATAAAACGCCAGACTTACAACGACATTTGTAGAGGTGTTACTCGACATAGATCCATAACCTACTGGCTGCTGTTGTCCGTATGCAGTTTGGGTGTACCCTGCATTGTATGCTAAAGAAAGAAATATGACATGTTACATTAGATTTTCGTTGATTTTATATAATATTCTATAATAAATTGGGCTGATGCTTACTTTTGAGGTAAATGAAAATTACGCAATAGAGCAACGTGATTCTTTTCAATTTTTCAAAATTTCAAATTCAAGAACCTTCTGATATAACTATGGTAAAGTAAAGTTATACTAAACGGTTGTTTGGCTGCTCTGGATTTTGTACATAACCTCCAGCTTTTTTGGCTGTAAAAACAAGGAAAAATTATATTTGCTATATACCTTTTTTTTTAAAAAAAGCATACATGTACACTTACATCTTTCAATGAATGAAATAAACAACTTTACCAAATAAATGATTACATGTTAAGTTCGAAGAATATGTACTCTACTTATCAAAACTTATTTACCACTTGCGTTCTCGGATCGCATTCCAAAGATTTTTGCTCATAGTGTATGTGTGGGTGTGTTGTGTGTGTGTGTGGGTGTAGAGAGAGAGAGAATGTATTCAACTCGGTGTAATGACAACCCTCTTCCTTTTTTTACAAGTCAGCCATGTTTTTTTTGCACCATACATAACTGTTTTACAGATTGATGCTCAATCGTAAGGAAATCACTGCAAACCGAAGTCAATCCAAGGTCTTGTAATGACAAACTTCATAATTAAAAAAATATTGAAAAATTCTGAAAGCAGGGGAATTTCATTTATTAGGTCACTATTGCCAAATTTTAAGATCATGATATTAGACTGATCTTGAATTTTAAAGAAAAGTTCTGGATTTTTTCTGCTATGTTGAAAAGCAATTAAAGTGTAGGGAGCTTCCTGTTTAAACGTCAAAAAGGAGAAATTCTGATGTTGCCTTAAAAATTAGATCAACTGTGCCAAATTGCATAGAGTACTCTGTAACAGATAGACTACATTGATTTTGAGCAGCTTTATTTTCTCCCTTCTTCTGAAGAAGGTTTTTTTTAAAAAATATTTTTTCTTTATTCTTTGTTGTTTATTTCGGCTTTTTTTCATTTTAACAACAAGTAACAAAGTTAATGAGCAATACTCACTATCCATGTCGTATCTACCTTCTGTCGAAATCTATAATCAATGTAATAGGTTGCACAATTGATCCGATTTCAATGTGTTTTCCCTGAAATTTTGACTGTTTTCTGTCTCCGATTATCCGGTAGAAAATACCATGGATCTTAAATTTGCTTTTTGGGAAGGTAAATACATGTTCCACGCCCATCAAAAATAGCCGAAACGTGTTCAGACTACACTTTTGCCTAATTTCAACGATTGGTCAATTTTTTCGTCCACTTATCGTGGTTTTTCCTTCCCTATTAGATAAAAACGAAAAGATAGTTGTCTGAATATCATTAAATATCATTTGAATCTAATTATGCAAAAGATGGAGTTCAAAATTACTCTACAGGTATGACTGCTCATAATAAAATACTGATACTATACAAAAAAAGTTTATATTTTACTTGTGAATGCATCTTTTACTGCATTTTTGAATGATATAAAATTCACCTAACAAATTATGACAATGTGTTATTAAGCGGCATTACATGTATCTGTAGAAGAGAATAAATACGCGTAATATGAAGCAGAACATGCACGTTGATAAATTATTATAATAAAAAATAAATATTTCATATCAACTTTATACTGTTTGTGTATAGGTTTCTCAACTTTAAATTCACATAAATATATGGAAATCCTTTCGTAGTACATTTGTTTGTTTGTTTGCTTTACGAATTTTTACTTATTGGGACACTTATGGTCATATTGACCAGTGAATGATCTTTTTGTGCAAGCAATTTGTACGACACGATACGTCCGATTATATGGATTAATCAAGAGGACCGGTCTCCACTTCCCGCAGAGGGATTCGAACCCTCAAAGTAAGGATCATCTCCTTTGTCCGCGACTTTAGAGTGTAACGCTCTAACCAATGCGACTAGGTCCTTTTTAAGGTAGAGTTTCATGCATGTATGAGTATGATACAGAAGTGAAGATTACAAACAATATTTAATCTTGTAAATAAGATAAAAAAATGAAAGTGAAAAAACGGACCCCTGGAAACACTACAGGTGGGATCAGGAGTCTAGGAGGTGGACGCATCCCCTGTCGACCGGTCACACCCGCCGTGAGCCCGATGTCTTGATAGTTTAGACGGAGTATTCCGTTGTCAACAATGATGATCAACAATGATTGAACAATTGCTTATGAAACATGATACAACTCAACGATAGGTTGCATTTGTGAAGATCATTATAACGATCATAAAATTTGCGAAATGCTGTCTTTAAACGAAGTTCCTGAAATCCCTGTGATAATAACTCATTTGTCAGTAGCCTACCTTGGTTTAAAACTTTCTTTATATACTAAGAGTATGCTTTTGCGTATTGAATGAGTTGGGAGACATAAAAATCATATGCAGGTGAGAATGGAATATTACCATAAAAATAAGGGAAATTGACGTTTGTCAAATGTTAACAGTTTAGTTGTTAGTTGGCAATTGCCTATAGTCAGTTAAAAATATGACACAGTTGTAGCAGACTCTGTGGTGTCTTTTAATTCGAGTTCACTAGGATATATCGCGTAACTATTGTTAATTGATAAAACGTCGTTGATATATCAAAATATCGCGTTGAAGGTCACAGCAATAGTTTCTTCTTTTCATGTAGAATTTTAACTATCAATTCTGCTTCATAGGAATTTAAAAACAGATCGACTAACAAAACGACTCAGATAGGCGTTGTTCGGAATCCAACAGATTGTTGGAAGACCTGGTCTGCATATGTCAATGAGGAACACGAGATGTTTCAAATGTTGCTATTGATTTTTAAAAAAGATTTTTTATTCAAAATTTTCCAAAAGTTATTTGGAGTTTATAATAATCAAAATTTGATTTGTACCACTTCTTGAACATGTAGTAGCACAGTATGAGGAACTTCACATAGGAATATGAAAAACTTGAAGCAATAGAATTTATCTTCGGAAGCAGTATAAGTTAATCTAGATATCAATAATTTTTTTTATGATTTTACAAATGTAAGTTTATGTCTTCCTTGACGTAGGACATGATTAAATCAAAATGGAGATTTTATACGCATCTAGAACAACACTGTAGCCCAAGCAAAAAACCATCATACAGGTTTACCCATGGCGTGGTTTCATTGCTTCAAAATTGCAAACATGTAACTCTATTAATCGCTGCTATAAATACTACAACATGGCATATTTTCTCTCTGGTATAACTTATTTAATCATTGATAAATTAATTTTCTGCCAAGTTTAGTTTAATAAACGAATATGTGCATACACGTTTTACAAACTCATGGCGATTTTTTTTATATATTTCATTTTCAAATGCTCTACTCATTATTTATTCATAATAGAAAATTACATTATTTCTTAATGTCCGATTACACAAGATGTATTTGATATCGGATGTTTGTTCATATACAGTGTAGTAGCTTCAAATGTTAGAAGCATTGTTTTTATTCATAATGTTTAGTCGTATAAAGTTTCCTTTTTCATTCAAATTTCTCAATAATATCTATGAAGTGATAAAAAAAATGTATAGATTTTAAAGGGTGATGACAAAAAAGAAGATATGTGAGCATTGTAGAAAGTCGACAATTTCTAAATATTTTATATATGCATAATTTACATAGATCCAAAAATATATTCTAATCCATTTTTTTCCCATCTTGGTTTTCTATCGAATATTTCTCTCCACGAACTATTGGTATCATTATGAATCTATAAAGAATATTTCCTTAGTCGCGAAAATTAGTCGTAGCGGATAGATTTCAAACTGACAAAACGCAAATAAAGGTTGGTTTGCTGTATTTAAGAAGAAATGAGTTCCTTTCTTCAAAGCACAGATACGGGAAATGAAATTGTACTATATCTTAAAATTTCACAGCTCTTTTATGACAAAAATTCAGAAAAATGTAGTAAAATTGAAATTGACAAAAGTTCAAGCCAGAGGACATGTGATTTTTTTGTTGTTTGATTTCATGTTTCAAACATTCGAATTCGATAAATATAATAAAAATATGATTTATTTAAGGAATTTGGTAATCTAAAAAAACCTATATGTACATGTGAAAAGACTTCACTGGTTCAAAAGAGATCATTTTATGTTCTTATAATATGTTCTTTAAAACATTTTCTTAAAAAATTATCACTAATTTAGACATCATTGTAGACTAACATGTACATGTATGTCATTAAATGAAAAAGTTGATAATTGAAGGTTTCAATCTATTACCGAAAAACTGGGAATATCTGTACGTGACCCCGCAGAATGTAACATGCTGGATAACCAATTTGGGGGGGGGGGATTATTTATCAGAGTTTGAAATTACTCTAGTAAAAGATATGGATTGAATTTTTTATTTATTGCATCTTTTTTTCTTTTCTTTTTTTTTTTTTTAAAAAGAAAGAACATAACTGAGTGGAATTTAGGAAAAATGTGTACCTTTAAGCATTTTCATAATATTGAAAGACTTAGTGGATTTGATTTTTTTTAAATTATCTGCGATTACTGCAACTGATTCAAAAGTTATCAATAATTCAACATGAACAAAGAAAGGTAACTAAGTTATAATTTGTATACTTATTATTATTGTGGTCGACAGAGACATGCGCTAGCTATGATTATGAGTGCCCTCGAATCTCATTATTTTTTTCCATTGCTGATGCATGTGCGTGCGTGGGTATATTTGTTTTTAGGTGTATTATATCCAGACAGATGAAATATCTAACAAAAAAATACTGACCGAATCTTAACTTAATTGACGTTTTAAAAATGTCATATTTAAGCATGGCCGGCATTTCCAGGAATACTCAAATTAGTCTTGACAAATGACCAAATGTGAGTATTTGTATGATTTTTAACACCCTTAAGATACATGTACCTAGTTTTCCCCTTTGCTTAAAACGCGTTATAAAATTAAAGTATTACAAAATGAAATATGTGAAGATAAAAGATAACGAACAATGATCGATCTGGGAAAAAAATCTACAAAGTATATAGTTATGTAAACATGGTATAAAACACTACAGGTGTGATCAGGTGCCTAGGTGGAGTAAGCATCCCCTGTCGATCGGTCACACTAGCCATGAACCATATGTATTGAGCAGATAGACGGAATATTCCATAGTCAAATTTAGTATATAAAAGGTCTAACAATTGGTATAAAACACGTCAGCCAAAATTCAAACCCAAAATATGTTGTTTTGCTAACAAGATCGTTATAACGACCATAAAATGCTGACTTGAAACGAGGTTGTTGAAATCCATGTAACATTAACTTATCTGTCAGTAGTCTGCCTTGGTTTAAAAATTGATAAAACTCGAAGAATGCTCTTTAGAATGGAATAAGCTGGGAAACGTTAACTCCATATGCAGGTGATGGCGGATTATTACTACATAAATAAGGAAAGTTGAGGATTGAAGTGAAGTCATCTCGTTTGTCATACAACTTAATTGTTAGTTGGCCCTTATCGACTGTAGTCTAAAAAGGGGCATAATAAGTGCTCATCACAATTCCAACAGTTTCTTAGAAGACCTGGTCTCCGAAGACTACATAGATGTTGTCATTGAGGAACTCCTGCATCCTTTCAATATCAACTTCAGAGTACTTGTGTGTGGAATCAGAGTAACACAGTCATTTGCTGATAACCAATCACAAGATATGAAAATTTCCGAGATCCGCTTTTATTGAAGAAGCAGTTGTCCATGTTTCAAAAAGCCTCGTTTTTAATTTATCGTGAGGAATGGTCGCATAATTTGTAGAAAAGTCGTATGTTTGATGGTACTTACTTCTGAAAAAATTGGTAATTTTAAATTTTCTTAAAGTTCTTTTGAGTTTTTGAGAATCCATATCTGATTTACACCACTTTTAACCAAGTTTGTGGCTGAAATGTAAAAATACTAGTTTAAACAATTTTTTCAAGATATTATTTTAAAGTGCTTTATCATTGTTGTTTTTATTTCTATCGATTTAGTTTTTCTTGATCACAGCATAAATGCTGATTAAAGTTTGATAGTGCTAATTAATCAATGATGAAACATTTTCTTTCAATGAACACATAATTTGTTCTCGGTCAACATCACGAACTAAAAATGTTAAGATAATAATGATAGTAAGTACACTGCATTTGACAACAAAGAAAGTGAACAATTTCAACATTATCATGGGTCTTACTGACAACTTTTTTGTACAATCGTCATGCTTTTCCTTGGGCTAAATTTCTTTTATAGAAAAGCTTAACATTACGTATAATTATCGTACATTTACAGAGTTCCTACAGTCTACAGGTACTTTGATTGCGTAGACATAAAACCTTTTAGCCCAGCTTACAAGAAGTCTGGTCATTTTCCAAAGATGCTATAATAGAGTATTGCAAATGCTATTCCTCATTAAAATTTTCAAAACGAAATTCATTTAAGGCATAAGACAATATTTCTGATTTTTTTCTCTTCTAACAGACTTTGTACATGTGTAGGGGTGTTAACCCTTCTCTATACGTTTCCTTAAAATAAATGGTTTTCGTCATTTGAGCTTTTTGTATAAGTTATCTCATGATGGCAATATCCTGAACTTAATTTTCTTAAATGCTAGCTTCTTGATATAAATGATTTTTGATTGTTACATCGTTCTCTGATTTGTCATCATTTATCATACACAAAATAACAATCTGAGTATAATTATATCAGTATAATTTAGGAATTTTAGTAAATCCATTATGTATCTTTCCATAATCCTTATTTTGAAATTAAAATCCGGAAGAAATTTCTGTAATAGTAAACAGCTCTGCATTTGTCTTCGCAAAAAACTATGTGTTTAAAACTTTTGCAATTGAATAAGTTAATTAAAAAAGGTCAGTAAAACAAATATTATGTATACTTTGAATAAAATCCGGAGAGAGAGAATTCTTCTGCGTAGAAGTCTTCTGTTCTCAATCATAAGACCTTTTCAGATGTCAAAGAATTTTCCTTATCTAAGATGAAATTTATTCGAAGAAACCATTCACTTTCCATAAAACTTGTTTTATAATCCATATACTAGTATATCTACTCTAAACAAAACTGCAATCAAAGAAGATAAAAATAGTATTGACATAGAGTTTTTTTTTTTAAAAACATACGAATAATAAATTTAAAAACAAATCAATAATTTTAAGACTGAGATTTCTTTAAAAATTATATGTTAATTTGATAATTTCATATATATGTACATGTATTTAATATACATAGTAATCAAAATGAAAATACCAGCTGAATGAAAAGAATTAATCTTCAAAAAAAAATTACTCCTTGGTATGGATGATTGGCGAGAGAATTCAATAAGAAATTGTAAAATCAAGTTTTAAAACTTATTTTTATTTAAATTATTACCTGAGAAACAATAATTAACTATACTCATCGTCAACAATACTTCACACACTAACAGCTATATTAATACTTATCAGTATATGTATTTGCAGCATCGTGCTTTTTTCGTTATATTTTTTTTATTTTCAATGACAAGGAGGCAGAAAATATTTACAACTTTTTATCTATAATGTACAATGAAAAAAATACATACATGTGGTGGTAAAAAAAATGTGCACGATAACATTCATTAATTTGCAAGAATCTACAAATATAAAAGTAAAATCAATAAGAAAACAAAGAGGTTTTGTACCCAAAAAAAAAAAACACATTACAAAAACTTTATAAGTCATATAAACAAACAATAACAAATATCTTTAATTTAGTATCGGGAAAATAAAATACATGTATATACCATTTCAATAATAGGGGATGACCAGTGAAAAACACGGGATGAACAATAAGGCTAACAAACACACACGCACACAAGAATAAATAAATAAAGGACAAAAATATGTAGTAGTAAAAAATACATTTACTGTAAATTTTGAAAAAAAAAATGAATCAATGAGGGATATTTTTATCAATTGTTCAAGAAAGCATATAAAAGAAAGGATTATATTCGTTGTATATATTTTAAGATGTATTTATTCTACACCATTCTGTATATACACATATAAATTCATGGATCTTTTACTATATTACAAATTCTCTCGACCAGTAATGAAAACATTCAATGAATTTTTTCTTCTGTCACACTATAACTTGTCAACCACAAAAATCAAGACATTTAAAAACTACTGAGCATGAAAGATACATGTACATCAAATATATGCATGTTCTTTCGATTGTACATTATAGGTATGAAAAAATGTTTTCTTTGGCTTTTCTGAAATGTTCAACAAAATTTACGTTTCCAATCACATTTTAGAATAAAGAACACATGAAGCCGGATGAATTTCAGGTTGCCCAAAGAAAATGTCCCCAACAAAAACAACCACGATATGTGAATTCAATCAATCATTAATTTACTTCTCAAACATAATCATGAAATATTTATATATCGAAAACATTTTACTTTCATTGTACATTTCACCACATATACATGTATGTGTCAAACAAAACCACTTTGAGTTGGGTTCGTACTTTTCAACATTTAGGTATGTCGTTTACTGTATATTTCATTGCATATCGGTGTTTTTCTTTAAATTTGTCTTGAGAAGATATATTACTTTTTGAAAGTGAATGTAAGAATTACACAAAAAAAATAATGTATATTCCTGATTTTTAAAAAGAAAATAAAATTACAAATACATTACACTTTGTTAAGTTTTTGGAATGAGTACAGTTCAGATTCCAACCATAAATCTACATACATGTATCAAAACCCCTATCCTTAAAGTTGACAGAATTTAATTAGTTTACAGAAATACTAGCGTGAGAAAATTCAACACGAAAAACAAGGAAACGACACATGTTATTTTATTGGCTTTGTCAAAGACATTGGGGTCAAATTTGAAGCAGTTCTGTTTACCATCAATCACCTGGAAATTCTGGGCCTCACAGAAAGACGTACCATTTTGGTATTTAGCACCTATAAAGAGTACCAAATACGTACACATGTAATGAAACTCAAATACCCCTTACAAATACGGATGACAAATATGCCATTTTGTACTTTTTACATTTAACAGACAAAAAAAGGAAACAGTTCATTTTAGATAATTTACATACTTGTAATATTTTTAGTACTATATATCCATAAATAGACACACAAGGAGGCAAAACTGGGTTTTATCATGTGTGGAGATTACAAATATTTCTGTCTACATTTGGATTTTTTAACTGCATACAATATTCCCTCTCCACAAAACTGATGACATGGATTTCAAATCAACTTCCTTGTATGTTTCGTGTTACTTGTACATATAATTTATATTACAAACATCTATTAGGTTTATTCAAAATAAATGTCCTTTAGCAATTATGTCAAGAAAATATTTGTAAAATAATAAGTACAGTTAACTGAACGAATTAGCATTACCTATTCTTTTTCCGTCATAAAAAGCTCCTTGGCAATGGTGATAAACTGATTTACAAAAGTCCGTACAGACATGAACTTTTCTTTCTTCATCTCTGAAATAACAAAGGTTGGAAAATTAAAATACATAAATAATGAATTTTTCTCAGGAATTTAAACATATCTTATGCATTTTGTTTTTGTACTGCTAATCATAATTGTTTTTAAACATTAGTTTTTCATTGATATAAGTAAACCTTTTTCTTTGAAAACATTTATTAGATGTGGAATTTTCAAGTTAATAAAGAAGAATGAGGTTTCATACTTGTGATACCAGTGAACTTGGTCTGGTGCACAAAAATAACACATCATGTAGTTCAAGTGATTGGTGCAGTCTCGGGAGGCTCCATATAAAGGTGGCATTCCGGAGAAAACAGAGGTAACCTCTGTACGTTTACAGCAAGCTTTGGGGGCATACCACGTACAATTTATTAGTCCCTCAACTTCTACAGCAAATCTTTTATTTTCTAAAAAAAAAAATTTACACTGTTAATTATAACGGATTTATTTAATTTTTGCATGACTAGCAATATTGAAATTTGAACAACCATGACCAGTACATGGCTGAATAAGGCTTTCATATATATGTAGCACGTTCCATAGTTGCAGCATGGCCTTCACACTGCTTTTCCTCTCTAGCTCTATATACTGGATAATGCCAATCTCTTTGTAGTGACACATATTCTGCAAGTACATATACTATTTATTGTGGTGACATGCCACTCTTTCTTGTGATGAACCATGCCACTTTTCCTCATGTCATTCCACTCTAAGTGTATGAACCTTCCCATAGATTCTCATCACAAACTGCTACTCTTTCTTGTGCCATCCACTCTCTCTATATGAACCATGCCATTGCCCCCGATGATGAACTATGTCATTCTTACTTTTGTCACTTCACTCTTCATGTATAAACCATGCCATTCTCCCCATGGTCAGCCATGCCATGCTTCCTTTTTGTCATTCCACTCATTTTGTATGAACCATGACATTGCTCCTCATGATGAAACATGCCACTCTTCTCAGCTCATGTACAAATATACAATTCTTCATCATGGCGAAATACATGTATGTTATTCTTTATGTGGATTTAACCATACTACTCTACCTTGTGGAGAATAAAGCCATTCTCATCATGGTGAACTACATATACAATACTCTTTTGTATGATTAACCATGCCACTCTTCCTTCATTCTCAGCACGGTGTAACTACAATATTCTTTCGAATGATGAACCATGCCATTCTTCCTCATGAGTCATGTCAATGTGAAAGGTTAAGATAACAAACAGTGATCAATCTAGTAAAGAAACGAATCACGAACAGGACAAAAACACGAATCCCTGGAAACACCAGTCATGGGATGAAGTGCCCGGAAGGAGTAAAAATCCCTTGTCGACCCGGTCACCCGCCGTGAGTCCTATGTATTATGACTGTACACGGGGTAATCCGTAGTCAAATTTAACAATGAATGAACATATGGTATGAAACATGTCAGACAAAATACGATCCAAAGATAGAGATGCATTTGTCAAACAAGATCATTACAACGGCCTCAATCTAATTCAAGGTGATTCAAGCTACCCTTCATCATTTATTCTCATGACGTCTTAATCAATTCTTCATTTTTAACCATGTTACTTTCCCTCTCTCCAGATGATAAATCATAAATCTCTTCACGCTTCCTAATACAATTTCTCATCATAAACCATGTCCTCCTCTTTATGAATTGCATGTACATGTACGTCTATTTTTCATCGCAAAAAAATTTCTCTCTTCATCAAAAGGAGCCCATTGCTCTATTTCGTATCAGATAAACCATTCTTGCCACTATTCCTCATGATTCAGCCCACCACAGATACTTCTTACACTTTTCTTTATGATGAACAATGACATATTTCTTTATATAATAAAACAAGGGTCATTTCACTCTTCCATTATTTTTGTCCCCCGCTTTCTCTAAAATCGGGGAATATTAATTTGGGTCTGTCCGTCCGTCTTTCTGTCCTTCCGTCCATCTGCCATTCTGTTTGTGGATAACAATTTAGTTTCCTGACGATATCTCGAAATTTTGTATCATCACTCCCTATGACTTTAAGAAAAGGCCCCTATTGATTTTGAAGTTAAAAGGTAAAAGGCCACGTTCAAAAATTCATATATTGCATAACGTGTTTTCAGACTATTCAGGTAGTTTTCAGATGATAACTTACATGTATGTTCTCTTTGAGCTTTTGCAATGAAATCGTGAGGTGATGAATCCCTCTAACTGAAGAAAGACCTCTATTGGTGTGAAGGCCAAAAGGTCAAGGCCAAACGTTCTTTTTTTTCATCATCAACATTTTTTATATCTTCCACCCTCTTATTAATACCTTAAGTTGAGGACATAAATTCCTTGAATTAGCTTGTTGCCCGTGTTTTTGCAACATTTAAATGCAATATTTTAACGCTTTATAAATGCATGTTGCCTCCTTCAGGACAAATAAGGTCCTTTAAGCTCTCCTATAGATCCTTGTTCTTTCCGAAATACTATTTGGTATTTCAAATGTCTTCCACTTCTCCTGGGTTAAGTTTATTATACAGCCTTTCACTCCTGAAGCCTTACAATGTACATGTAGACATTAAGGCAAGAAAATTCGTTTCTGCATCTATTTTGACGATATGGCAAAGTATACATCCATCCACAATACTTTAATTCATGTTTAATTTGGACAACACACATTTACATGAAAGTCATTGATGATTTTTAAGTATACAGCTCAACAAAACTTTTGAAACTTAATATGCTTTCGTGAACTAATTAAATGCACATTTTGGAAATACATGTAAATAAATTGCTACTAAACAAAAATGCAAACAAAAGATATGATGAATTTTGCAATTTTATGATAGTTTTCATATTCATTGATGGTGTTTTATTTTCTGGTATTTGATAACTTCGCCTTTGCACGTATTACAGCCTTGATGCCACTAGGTTCGCTATGAATTAAGTTTGTACAGAACGTTCAGGGTTAGGGCATTGAGTACCATTCCCACTGAAATGTCCTCCACATGTTTTTTTTTATTTTTCAGTCATTGGCATGTTTTTTCCAAAGGCAACTCTGTTGCCCTGTAACAGTCCTGATTCAAAACTAAATAAAAACATTTTGGGTTCAATAAAAAATACCGGGCCTTACTCAAAACATACCTACAACTTTTGAATTAAGGACAAACATATAACAACTTGAGTCTTATTTATATAAGTAAAATGAACAAGTTTAACCGCATAGTTTTTAATTTTTTCCTTCAAAGTTTCATAATTGTGGAATTTGAAGTGACAAAATTTTTCATAGATTAATAAGGATGGTTGTAGAAAGGTAGAATTTTGAACATCCTAGAAGGTTTACAATTTCTTGATGTTTTAAAAATTATTATTTGCATCATTTCAACAAAAATAGGCCCAAAAATATATACCAATCCAGTCATCCATTTTTTGTATCATCTGCCCTTAAAAGATATATGAAAGGCACTCGTGGCTCAATTCCAAAGAAAACGTAGTATAACACTTACAGACTGTATTTCAGGACTGCAAACATCTCGAAAATAAGAGAAAGAAATCAATATAGTTGTATGCTGTGTTGAATGAAAAATCGAATGATCCTTACCAAAATATGTGCAAGGTTTCTTGTCATGGTTGCGTTCGATGTGAAATTCAATTACTGAATTTTCGGCGATCACCACGTCTGAAAAGGAAAGGACGAGAAATACGACCAGGCATTTCATTTTGAAGAACTCTTGCTGATGTAGCTATAAAAGCAGTATTTTAATCATACTGGCTGAGAACCCAGCATCTGTACCAAGAAAAATCAATATAGGAAACATGGATAGAGTAAATAAAAATAAAACGACGACGAGTCGGATTTCCGTCTTTATTTCAAGATTTTAAAATATCAAACAATATTAAAAATCATTATTTGTTTCAGATCTCCCTACCTTCCCGTGAAAAGATTCGCGTCTGGATAACTTGTTTTGAACGTCTATGAAAACAAACTTTTTGCGGAATCGTCAAAAAGTGTCATTAATTATAATATTGTAATAAATACGAAGAAATGTACATTGCGGACCCTTGAGACTTCCATTGATTTTATCAGTATTTTTTCCATAATGAATTAACTTTGCTAAAGCTCATGCATGACTTACTTGTAGGATCCTGTTTCTCTCTTATTTGAACCCCACGTCATCCTGTCAATAAAATGGTGAAATCGATATTCCGGTGTCATAGTCATAGGGCTAACTATTTTTAATTATTTATAATTAGGGACGTATTAGTTGATCCCTATTATAGCTAATAAATTTTGAAAAAAGATTACTTAATTTTTAACAAAATGTTTTCAAGTATTACAACCTATAGTGACGTAAAAAACGTCATAGCAGTCAAATATTTCATCAACAAGTACAGTATATATCTCACTCAGCGGTCCAACATCGATTTTTTTTTTTTTACTTGTAAGACTTCTTTATTGGTACAGATATATATATATGAGAAACAATTTTCAAACGTATAATATTACATGCATAAAGCTTCAACATTTATGATGAGCTGTTAATACTCAGATATACTAGGCAGTCAAAGAGATCTACACGTAGGTCTACTTTTAGCTATGTTAAGAAGCTTCAAATTGTTGTTGAAGTGCGGGATACTCTGTTAAAGTATAAACCCTGCGTATACAATTATACATGTATTAACCGATGGTATACATGTACATACATCCTTAAAGTTGACAAAAAAGACACCTGGTTCTATTGGAGAGTCCATAAGTCGATAGTGAAGCTCATGGGATTTTTTTTATATTAACATAAGGCAGCTAGGTTTGTTTTGTTTTGCTAAGAGATGATTGATGAATAAATACAGAAGAGGAGGAGGGGGTTTTGGAATTTAGAAAATGCATATTTCAGGCACATAAGTATCGCCCCCCCCCTACTTTTTTTCCAAACAACCTTTTACTTTTGAAAATTTTCATTTGAAAGGCTGTCCCCTTTTTGTTTTTATCATAGTTAAATCATGGTAGTTTGGTGATGTAGTAATAAAATTGGATGGGAAAAGTAGTTGAAAGAAAGTTGGAAGCTATCCCCACCCAGCCGGCCGCTCCTTTTTTTGCTTGTCAAAGTTTTCAGGTATGTTGTCAATTTTTTTCTGTCTGCCCCATTTCAAAAACGACACTACGTTTCTGTATTTTGAATATATTGTCCGTAATGTTTTCTCAATCATCATGCAATAACCTTCGAAAACACTTTCTTCTAATAAATGCATGCATATTTATGTTCCCCAAACGAAGTTTGGGAACATATTGTTTTTACTCTGTTTCTTATTATTATTATTATTATTAAGGTCTTCCGTCTCCAACGGAAGACCTTATTGTTTTTGTTCGGTTTCTTTTTCCCTATTATTATTATTATTATTATTATTCTTACCGATTTTGTGCACGCAAGTTCTCGGTAACGTCTTGGCCGATTTTCATGAAACTTTCAGATCTGATAGGTATTGATCTGAACCTTATTGGAAATTTTTTTCGTTGATGACGTCACTTTCCATCTCGAGATATTTAGGATTTTCTGATTTTTCGAGGGTCGGCTTGTCCTGGAAACTCCTCTGAAACGACTTAAGATATTGAGTCAAGATTCTCAATGAAGGTAGGGGAAGGTTTGTAGATTTGCAGGCAGGTGTCCAAATTTCTCTAGCGCAAAAGGCGCCGAAGCTCGGTAGGGCTCAAAAAATGTCTCAGAAACATCTCACAAAATTTTACACCTTTTCTTTCATATCTTCATACATGTTCAGAATTTGTTAAAACATATAGAATGATACGACCTTTCATTTGATATCACGAAAAAAGGGCTGACCCCTCAAATTAGGGGCTGAGAGGGGCCAAAAGTCTTTCATCGTTAACTCTTTAACAATCAATAATTTGCAATACATTACTGAAGCAAAGATGCTCATCTTAACGATTTACAACAATATATGATAAAATTCTGATCATATGTTACGTAATAAGGGGTCACAAGGGGCCAGAATGCTAAATCTTTGACGCTTTATATCTCGAAAAAGGGGAATATTTTGATAAGCAATACTGAACGAAAGATGTTCAGAATAATGTTCTAAAGAATATGCACCCTTTCAATTTTTGTCAAACGGCCCCATTAAGGACTTGGAGGGGTGGCCCCTAAATATTTCCATTCAGCATATCTCCACAACGAAAAGAAATCTCTGAATAGCTGTTGAACAAAAAGTCTTCAAAATCACAAAATCTTTCATTTGATATCAAGAAAAAGGGGCTGACCCCTCAAATTAGGGGCTGAGAGGGGCCAAAAGTCTTTCATCGTTAACTCCTTAACAATCAATAATTTGTAATACATTACTGAAACAAAGATGTTTATCTTAACGATTTACAACAATATATGATAAGATTCTGATCATATGTTACGTAATAAGGGGTCACAAGGGGCCAGAATGCTAAATCTTTGACGCTTTATATCTCGAAAAAGGGGAATATTTTGATAAGCAATACTGAACGAAAGATGTTCAGAATAATGTTCTAAAGAATATGCACCCTTTCAATTTTTGTCAAACGGCCCCATTTAGGACTTGGAGGGGTGGCCCCTAAATATTTCCATTCAGCATATCTCCACAACGAAAAGAAATCTCTGAATAGCTGTTGAACAAAAAGTCTTCAAAATCACAAAATCTTTCATTTGATATCAAGAAAAAGGGGCTGACCCCTCAAATTAGGGGCTGAGAGGGGCCAAAAGTCTTTCATCGTTAACTCCTTAACAATCAATAATTTGTAATACATTACTGAAACAAAGATGTTTATCTTAACGATTTACAACAATATATGATAAGATTCTGACCATATGTTACGTAATAAGGGGTCACAAGGGGCCAGAATGCTAAATCTTTGACGCTTTATATCTCGAAAAGGGAGAATATTTTGATAAGCAATACTGAACAAAAAATGGTCAGAATAATGTTCTAAAGAATATGCACCCTTTCAATTTTTGTCAAACGGCCCCATAAGAACTTGAAGGGGTGGTCCCTAAATATTTCCATTCAGCATATCTCCACAACGAAAAGAAATATCTGAATATTTCTTGAACAAAACGTGTTCAAAATCACAATACCTTTCAATTGATATCAAGAAAAAGGGGCTGACCCTCCAAATTTGGGGCTCAGAGGGGCCGAAAGCATGTCATCTATAGTTTTTTGATATTGTTATATAAATCAAAAGAATGAAATCTAATTAGGGAAGTCTATATATCATTATCTTTTAACAAAGATCATAGTCAAAATCATATCTCATCTTATCGAAAAATCGGATGGAAGACCTACTCGTTGCTCGCAACGAGATCTCATCTAGTTATTATGTTCCCCAAACGAAGTTTGGGAACATATTGTTTTTACTCGGTTTCTTCTTCTTCTTATTATTATTATTCTTTTTTATTCTTATTTCTTCTCCGGTACTTTTTTGTTCGCGAGTGTTCTCGGAAACTGCACATCCAATTGAGTTAAAACCTTTTTAGGGTTAATAGGCATGTTGTGTAGATGTGCTCGTCGAATGTCATTTTGCGCGCACATGCATGCACGTGCGGGCGCGTGCAATGAGTGAAATGACTGCCATACTTCATATAGCCGTAACTTTTACATTTTTTATCGTACCGATAAAAAATGTTAATGAATATAATTGATAGTATTGCATCTATTTTCTTTTACTAAAATATCGTTAATTCTTTTTTTAAATTGATAAGTAGGCCGACTCCTTTTCGTAAAATGTATAACAAAAATTCCTATGGGCTCAAACACTACAACAACGAATTGACCTCAAACCAACCGGTAAGTGGCGCTGTGAATGTAAATAAACTACAGAGGAAACGGGTGGGCGCTGTCTTCCCATATACAAACGAAAGTAAGTTTGAGCTTCGGTTGATTTTGGAGTGTATTATCCATTATGCTTTTATGATAATTGTAACATTATGTCTGATACACATAAAGAAAAGTGTATGCGACAGGAATATCCGCGAACATTGCGCAAATCGAAGTATTGAAGTAGGCTGCTATAGACTGATAGTCTATCAGGTCCAGTACAATCAGTACATTTAGCTACGTAGCTAAAATTACCTACCGTAGCTTTATTTACCTACCTCAGGTAGCTTTATTTAGCTATTTCATGGCAACTTTTCACAATTTTGCTTTTTATTTTCAAAAGACAAAAAATCGCAAATAAATGACCACTAATATTTACACTAAGGATTATTTAAAAAGCAATCAAGTGCAGAGATAGTTTTAACATTGCTGCATTTGAACACTTTTAAGGAAAAGATGTATTTCCATTGTTAGAGTAACTGTACACCACCTTGTGTGCGATGAGGCATGGATAAGTATGATTGCTTCTCATTGTGCTCATGTTAACCAGAACTGGTTTTCTTTGTTATTTCATTCAAGAAGTAACTGTTTGGTCACAAATTAACTGTTGTATATAACCCCAAAACTTGTAGAACTTTGATTGAAATTGCGCAGAAAAATACACATCTCCAAGAGTGATTTTTTCATGAATTGTTTTTAGATGAGCTTAAAGTTGAAAATTATCACTGCATCAAAGTGCAATTTTCTGCACATCCTGAGAAAAATGGTAATTTAAGAAAAAAGTTTGATTCAGTAGCTAAATAAAGCTACTTCAGGTAGGTTAATAAAGCTATGTAGGTAATTCAAGCTACGTAGCTAAATCTTGTGATTGTACCAGACCTGTCTATTATTAGGCCTACGTGTAGCGGGAATAATACCCAAGCGTCAGTATACGGGCCAAGTTTTTGATATTTCATGAAAAATAATGTATAGATATTAGGAACATATTTTGGTGTCTGATTTTAGGCACTTAGTTCATGATTCGTGATCCCTTAATGATAGTAAATTTATAGTGAACTCTTGACTTTTGTTCATGATACGAGTAATATTGATGTAATAACAGGATATTTCTTATCAAAATGAAAGATCTTTGTCTTTTCATTCTGCTTTGTTTACACTGGGGTTATTATGTATAAACAACTACATTATACAATCCTTGTGAAAGAAAAAAAAAGAAATAGAATAGGGCCTGATGAAATAAAGTTCCTATAGAGTAATAGCTAGACTTCTACAGTCTTTCAGTTTGTATATATAATAATCATATTAATATATATCATACTATACATAAGAGAACAAAACATAAATTATGTTTAATATTTATGTTTAACAAACTGTCAGTAAATTAAATCTTTCTGAAAATTAATACATTAATATTTGTTTGAGTAGTATTTCATCAGTCTCGAGGTCTTGCATCATTTGTAGAATCAGCACTTAATTCCTATTGCTGAATATGACAGTGTATAAATTGATGTATTTATATCCAGCAAGCTAAAGTTTAAAACATTGAAGAAAAGAAATGAGAATGATACAAAGATGTTAAGTATGTTTTAATTTAATTAATGTATTTGTATCTTTATTTCAATAATGTCAATTGTATCCTACATTGTAAAATCAATTTAAAGTAAATAATAAAAGTTTCAAATATTTAACTAAAAAAAAAATAAGATAAAAATTTAACAGATTATAGGTTGGAAATGTTCCAAAAGTAGATTTTGTAATGTCCATGTTCAGGGAAGTGAGTAAGTGCAGGTATTCTTGTCTGGATCCTGTTAATTTTAAATTTTTTTTAAAGATTACACTTTCCTAAATTTGTTATTGTTTTAAACTAAAATCAATTTTAAAATTCATGTTAATAATAACAGTATATAAACCCAAAATATGAACCTTTGTTCATCTATTGTATAAGATATGTTGTGCTGAAATATAATATTATTGTGATTATAACGTATAATAAGTGCACAGTTAACATGGCAAAATGTTTGCACAGGTGAGTTTAAAGTTTACAAAATAAATGAATTTTAAATATTTCAGATTTACATCTTAAATGTTCATTTATCAAAGCATTATGTAATATATGCTGTTATATGTAGATTTTAACTTTTTAAGTATTAAATTTCATTAACTGTCTGCATTGAGATATCATGATAATGTTGTTGTAACAGCTAGAGCGTGAAAGCACAAATCATGTTCAAAATTTGCCCTCAAGAAACAGAGGATGTTAATAAAATTATTATGTAAAGCTACAAGGCTTTGTACATACATTTTAAATCTTTTTTTTGTTTCTACAGACATTTTCGTGTGAATCTTTAATGCCATGGATATTTGTGTAAAATTTCAGCTATGAGATGTGTATATGATACATGTTGTATTTCATCCAGCACATAGAATAGAACTTGCGGTACCTTTAATATTCATTTGTGACTTTTCTAATCCACTGTTTACATACATGTACAGTAGCTTAAGCATTTATTGAGGACAAACTTATTATATTTACATTTCCAATGTCTTTGTCCGAGATAAAATTACAAATTGTAAATATACTTTATTTCTACATAAATCTACTGGTTCATTGATTGGCGCGGTTAAAAAAAAAATCACGTGCGGGGCGGGACAAAAAGAGACAGAAGCAGGGCTATTAGCACGGGAATTTGCAGAATCAGGAGCATGTAAATATAAGGAATAACTGTCAGATTTTTTGGATTCATGACGATGATCAATCGATTGGCTTGCGTGATAATTTTATGCATAAACGCCTTCGGCGTTTATGCAAATTATCACGCAAGCCACTCGATTGATCACATCATGAATCCAAAAAATTAGACAGTTATTCCTTAAATATAATGAAATTTCATTGATTTACATGATTTATGTCGAAGCATATAGACTGAGATTCAGCAGATATTGATTTATAGTCTTGATGGATTTTTATTTCATGAAATTCATCGAAGTTGCCAGAACTGTTATTAACCTTCAAAAAAGCATCATGATCAAAAATCACAGCCAAATAAAGGCAATTTCACCTAGGATATGTGGTCTTTTTTTCCAAAATGAACTATATTTTCCTAATTATTTTTAAGATTTCAAATTCTTCCCAAAATGGATGAAAAAAGGCTGCTTTTAAAACATGCGTGAAATATACTGATCTGTTTATTTATCATGTTTTAATTACATGTATGTACTGCACACACCAATTGTATTTTGAGGAAGGTGCTGCACTAAATGATCAATGTTTTCATCATTAATTTTAGGACAAAGAACACTAATGGATTCCAAGCAACAACCTCCACCTGACTATTCAGGTAAGTGATTTATACCAGTACTTAAAGGAGTACAGGACAGGAACAATTAGTTTTACTTATTACTATCAGAAAAAGTACATTTGTATGTACCTATAGATAAAAAGTTAATGTTCAAATAACTGAGTTTATTACTGTTGATAAACTGGGGGATAAATTCATGAAATAAAGCAAAATAAGTTAAACGTTAAATCAATAATTTATTTTCTCATACCATTTAAAATGGGAAAAAAATCTGAAAATGGGAAAATATATAAATTGTCACTATATGGACTGCAAATATACTTGTAATGCCTATAACCTTTCATTTAATGTAAGGTTATAGAATATATACATCATGATACATGAAGCAAATTAAAACTAAGAATGAAACTACACTTCAGTTTCAGTATCAGTATGTTGGTCAGAGATATGTCAAAATGAGTAGAGAACCAGTTCAACTTTGATATATTGAAAGAATTTTTACTACAGTAAATGCCTTCACTGATAATGAGGTTCATATTTGATTTGAATTTGTCAGAGATAAGAGATAATCTGAGATTGATTTTTACACAGTATTTTTGTTTTGCAAAAGGCAAGTTGGAGTTGGTGTGATTTATTTGAGTTCTTAGATAAACAAAAAACTTGCATACTCATGAAAGATAATGAAATCTATTTTTAATGCTATAATTATACACTTCTTCCGGCTATGTCTTTATTTTGCAAGACTATTTTAAAATTCAATTGTATGCTCATGAAATGTGAGACACATTAACATGACTAAATAACAAAGATTTGCAACTGTTCAAAATCTCACAATTTCTTGTGTTTGCTATTGTTTACTTTTTTTCCAAATCTTGCACCATTTAAATCATATAAATCTTTAAAATTTCAGGGATAATGGAGCAGAACCTTTTTATCCACCTAAAAATATTCAGTTTGTTCTATTACTTTAAGTTTCAAATTTTAATTGATAAAATAAAGAAGGAGAAATCTGAGATAACAACAGATATGTGACCTAATGGTCAGCCCTATCTCCCAGACTTTGCAAACTTTCAGTAATTGACCCCTTTAATTTGCCTAGTTTATCTCTTTCTCTTACTATCTCTCTCTATCTATTTATGGGCCTGGGAAAGGACCATGCCGTACACCATATGTGCTTATACTGCTGAAAAATGGTGCAATGCATTAATGGTGTGCTGCGCCATGCAGCGCATCATGCAAATATTCTGTAAAATGCAAGCACATATGATTTTCTCATTTCTAAGTTCATCACAGCTAGCACATCACAGACAATTCCATCTAATTTCAATGAGGATGATGGTATGGAATTATAAAATCAAAACATCAGTTTAACATAATTGACATTCTGCTGGCAAAGAAACAGAAACTTTTCCTCACAAATGGTTCTTAGCTGACAATTCATTTTGGACAGCCGATCATAGCATCACAAGTTTTAACTATCCGAAAGTCTGGCACATCTTGCACATAGAAAATGTTTCCTTACAACGAATACCATATCAAGGAAGTCTACTTATCTTGGCCTTTAATTCCTTCAATCTGTAAATCAGCTTTTAAAAAGAGAAACTTTTTGGTATAATTTTTGGTATAATTTTAATATAATTTTTCGAATCTTTGCCGTTTTAGAATGATTTACTGTATGAAGTTCTTAGATTAGTAGAAAACATCAGCAAGTCAATGTCAGATACGATGATTTATCAATTCCTGTAGCATTTTTTAAAAATTTTCCTAAATTTGTTGTTGAAGAAATATTCATTATCACTTACAACAAAAATGCAAAATGATCATACTGTGATATGTAATTTTTAAGGTAAAAATAAAGAACAGTGATCATTCTCATAAACAGTTCTTTTTTTATACCTAAATATTTAAAAATGGCCCCAATAATGTATTTTCTCTTCAGCCCCTAAAATTTCAAAATGGCCTGATCATTTCATGAAAAGTGTGGCCACTGGCCCCACCTGTTCTTTGGCCTTCCCAGGCACTGCTATCTTTCTATCTTTCTCTCTCTCTCACATATACATAATAAAATTAATATCAATTTTTAACTTTAGGTAGTACATGTAGTACACAACAATGACTAGTACTTTATATAGGACCATCACTTTTTTAGTAAATACATGTAAACATGTACACATGGTGGAGTTGCAAATCTCTGTTAATGATGTCTGTGTTGAAAGTAAATTGTAATTTGAATTATAATTTTAAAAATATATGAAGGTCAGCAACAAGGTGGACCTCCCCCAGGGCAATATGGACCTCCTCCAGGGCAATATGGACCTCCCCCAGGGCAATATGGACCTCCCCCAGGACAATATGGACCTCCCCCAGGGCAATATGGAGTACAGCCTGGTTATGGACCACCACCTGGTAGGGATATAATTTATGTATTATTTTACATGTTATTTTATAAATGGAAATGATAACAGTTATTCTTCGAATCCACATCAGCATACAACTTCTTTGAAGACCTCTGTGAAAATCAGATATTAATTAAATAGCTTATCAGAAAATTCTGTTCATGATTTAGCCCATGTGTTTTCATTAAGCTTTGCTAGATTAAGTATACTAATTAAATCAGAACTTTCATCCACTTCCATTTAATACTAGTATTATCCCAGGGTTTAGTCCAGGCTTTGGGGAAAACTACCCTTCTTGGAGAAATTAGGAAAATCAGTTGGGGGTCTGGGGGACCAGAGCTCTGCAGTGAGACGAAGGCCCCCAGCCAAATGTAAAACCATTTTTGTGTCAGTCAAAATGCACAGGTGACGAGATCCACCATGCATACTATGGCAAAGATGCCATCACATCTTGTACAGGAAGGGGTTCAACTTACACTTAATATCCTTATTTGAGCTTTTTCAGAGTGCAAGGGGAATTTTTTACTCATCAAAAGGGGAAAATGAGATATTCAGGGGAAATTTTCTCTTAGATTGATTGTTCTTTTACGTCCCATTCGAGAATTTTTCACTCAATGACATAGAGAGACATCACCATATACCGGTGAATGGCTTCAAATTTGGACCTTTACTCGGCACTCAGGGCCATTGAGCAGTTAGGGATCTTTATCGTGCCAATGTCTGCCATGACAATGTCTGCCATGACACGGGGCCTCGGTTTCTAAGGTCTCATCCGAAGAACCTGCAACTTTCACTTCAAAGTGCTGAGTGCATGGCGTAGGAACAGTTGCTACCCATTTTTATTGACTTTAGTCAGTCGTGGCTGAAATTCAAACTCACAACCTCTCGATCATGGAGGGAGTGCTCTACCGACTGAGCTACCGTGAATGGTAATTTTCTCAAGAAAAATACTGAATATCGGTAGTGTATATGACCTAGATAAATCCCTGCTCTCCATAATGATTAATTGCTTAGTCACTTTCCCCCCTCTAAAAATTTGAAATAATTTTATCTGTTGCACCTTGTTGAAGTATTAAATATTTATTATTATACCCCACGCAACTAGTTGTGGGGGGTATGATGTTTTTGACCCGTCCATCAGTCAGTCAGTCAGTCAGTCCGTCAGTCCTGTTTTTTTGTCAGCGCAACTCCTCCTAAACTGCTGCACAGAATTTCGTCAAACTTTGCAGATATTTAGGACACAATGTGTAGATGTGCATACTACCAGGAAATTCTGATTCCTTTATTTTTTCTGGGAATTTCGGCACTTTTCAACTTAGATTTTTGTCCATATCTTGAATATAGAGATGAACAGTTTGTCAGCGCAACTCCTCCTAAACCGCTGCACAGAATTTTGTCAAACTTTGCAGATATTTAGGACACAATGTGTAAATTTGCATACTACCAGGAAATTCCGATTCCTTTATTTTTTCTGGGAATTTCGGCACTTTTCAACTTAGATTTTTGTCCATATCTTGAATATAGAGATGAACAGTTTGTCAGCGCAACTCCTCCTAAACCACTGCACAGAATTTCGTCAGACTTTGCAGATATTTAGGACACAATGTGTAGATGTGCATATTACTAGGAAATTCCGATTCCTTTATTTTTCTGGGAATTTCGGCACTTTTCAACATAGATTTTTGTCCAAATCTTGAATATAGAGATGAACAGTTTGTCAGAGCAACTCCTCCTAAACCGCTGCACAGAATTTTGTCAACTTTTGCAGATATTTAGGTCACAATGTGCAGATGTGCATATTACCAGGAAATTCCGATTCCTTTATTTTTCTGGGAATTTCGGCACTTTTCAACTTAGATTTTTGTCCATATCTTGAATATAGAGATGAACAGTTTGTCAGCGCAACTCTTCCTAAACCGCTGCACAGAATTTCATCAGACTTTGCAGATATTTAGGACACAATGTGTAGATGTGCATATTACCAGGAAATTCCGATTCCATTATTTTTGCCCTAAGAGTTTTTCCTATTATTGAATAAACTTTCCAGCTAGGTAATAAGGAAATCCACACTGGAATCAGCCTTTGTAATGACATTTTTTGTGAAATATTTTATGACCTTAAAAGACCCCTATTGACTTTGAGATCAAAATATGAATGATTTAACACACACACAAAATCTTGAATCTTGGATAGTTCTCAACCCCCCCCCCCCCCCCCCCCCCCCAAATTGGTGCTTTGCCTTAAATAATTTCATAAGTACAGTATATAAACAAATTCATATGACTACATTATAATTTTGTTTCCATCAGTTAGGCCATTCCAAGTTTTTTCTATGTTTAGCGTCCACCCATCTTTCAAATACCTACCTACCTATTCGCAAAAAACACACAAACCAAAAAGTAAAACACAAGTCTTTATAGTCATAAAAATGATGTCATCCAAAGGATTTGATTCCATTAATCTATTTTTCTATATCTATTCTATAGAAATATCTATTCTTCAGCAAAATCAAGGTTTTAAGTGCTTACAATATTCCAAATATGACATATTGTAGACAAATACTTAGAGTAATTCATAGAATTAAGTGATTTCGACCAGAATAAACAATTTCAGGACTTCTGATTTTGTTTGTTTTTTCTTATATGGGGTGTCAAAAACCAAGGCGCACGCGGACGCTAAACATAGAAAAAACTTGGAATGGCCTTATTTAAATGTGTACGTTGTCATGTGTTGGACATGGACTTACACTCATTAAAAAATCGAAATCACTGAGGAATTTAAATAACAGTTTGTCAGCATAACTCCTGCACTGAATTTCCTGAAACTTTGTAGGTATTTCAGACATAATGTATAGATTTGTATATTACCAAGAAATTTTTATTCCATTATTTATCTAGAAACTTCAGCCCAATTAAATTTGTAACATACAAAGATTTGAATGTCCTTATATGCAAGAAGTTTTGATGTGATGATTTTTTGCAAGTAATGCCCCTTTTTGAATTATACTGTGTATTTAAAATGCACTGTGCTATTCAGTACATGTTGCGTTGTCGAGTTTTGGGGGAGCGTGGGGTATGTGAGCTTGCTCACTTTTTCTTTCATTCACTAAAAAAAAGAAAGAATTATATTTAATTATACATATGGTGTTATTTATGACACTTTGTATGGAGAGTTTCTACATTAGTATTTATTAATAAGAATTTGTTTCCTATTTAATATACCACTGTAAGGTAGTACTCTTGTCCAGTTTTATAGCTTTTGAATCTGATGTATATTACCAAATTATTGTAGGTCAGCCATATGGGCAGAACGTGCCCCCGCCCCCTCCAGGTAAACACAGAGCTATTAAGACATGTAGATATACATTGTATTCTACGTGTTTTGCATGTGATGATATTAGTTGTGGGTGCATGTTTACCAATTTGTAAAATTTTATATCTAGTTTTCTTTTTTATTTATAGAACGTTCATAGTACATTCACAGTATAATTGTACATTGTATAAACTGCTTATGCATATCGAATGTCATGTAAAATTTACAAATATTGTCATTACAAATTGACCTGTCATGGCAAACTTAGAACCTTAACAATAAATAAGCATGGATCAGTTTATAATATATAAACCAGAGTAAGACATATGTAGAAGTTCATTGTGTTATATGTTACTCAATTGATGCCTTTCAATCTTACACTAAAATCTGTTTTATCTGAATATTGTTTGACATTTCTTAAACCAATGTATGAAGTTGAATTTTTATAACACCCATACAGGTCAATTTGCAGTAACAATACATTTAGCTTCATGTGGGTACAATTGTACCTGTTCAGTTACTTCGCACTACCATATCTTCCGTGGATTCGTCCAATAAAAAATCACACGTGCATATTGAATACTTCTAGAGCTTTACAAAATGCATGATTTCTAATGAACAATTTCAGGAAGGAATCCTTATGTTGTTCCCCCTACACCTCCATGTATAATTGTCGAAAACTGTGAATACCCAAAAATAACCATGATAACTGCATGTCAAACTTCTGGGAGTTTCAGATCAGACTGTTTTTGGAATAGAGGCTGCCATATTCTTCATTTTTAGCATTATTGAAAGTTTGACATGAAATAACCAGCTTAAATTCTTAATAATGTTATTAAAATTTTAATTAGTGTAAATATGATTTTTTATCCTTTTTAAATTTAATTCAGTTTGTATAGATCTGTATACAAACTATAAACAACAGGTTTTTACAATCAATGCACTTCGATCAACACAGTATTTTAAGTATAAACAACAAGAAAAGGTTTTTATGATCAATACACTTTGATCAACACAGTATTTTAAGTCGGGAATACAAAAAATATGTACTTCCTCAGGGTTCGACACTAACTTTTTAAGGCTTTAGTCCAGCCGGACTAGTGCTTCATTACTTTTACTAGTCCGCACGCTATTTTATCAGTCCGTCAAAAAAAAAAAAAGAAACATCAATGTTTTTTAACATTAATTTAACATGACAATTAATATACGTATTATTTTTTGAAATAAACAAAGTATTTACGTGAAATATATTATTCCACAGACTCATGAAATCTCGCAATCAGCAAGTTCGATCGTATTCCCGATCTCGTTTTTTTTTTTATCTTTACGTTACATCCAAAACGTCCAACATCTTTCTTAAAAGTGTCATACTAAATCATGATCGCTTAAACCTTATACTTCATATTGATCAGTCGAAAAATTAAGCGCTGAATTGACCCGGTATTGCGTAACTCCCGCCAAAAGCTAGAAATCTAAAAATACACGCGGGATTTCTTAGTAAAAGTTGTCGAGAATCGGACATCGGTAATTTATTCATATTCTTTTTCAGAATTTTTTATTGGTCCGTTCGGACTAATTAGCCACATATTTTATTAGTCCGAATGAAAATGTATTAGTCTGAGACTAACGGACTAACGTTAGTGTCGAACCCTGCTTCCTGCAAAATATAAGGATCTTATTTTCAAGTGTAGTTCAGGAAGTGATGCAGTAAGGAAGTTATGTAAAATGAGTCTGTAAATGAAAAAAAAAACAACAACTTGGTGGAGAATTAGAATGTTATTAGTACATGTAGTACAATTCTACATTAAAGTTTCATTTCAATATTTTAAATCATTTTGATTTTTGATGCAACTGGTAATTAATGAGCCAAAAAATAAGCTCAGCTCCTTTTCTAAAGTTTTTTTCCCTTGAATTGGGTATCCATAGTTTTGAATATGTGCATGTACTTCTTTACCATGTTTGCATTAAATAATGAATGAATGAATACAATACTTTATTACTAACTTATATATATGACAACACCCTTATCCAACATGCTCCATTCTTTGTAATACAGTTGAACTTCAGTATCCTGAACACTGATATCTTGAATTGAATACCAAGGAAATATGTCAAAATGATTTGGAAGTCCCAATTGCTTATTCCTTAAGTATTTTACCCTGGAGATCTTGAACCCTCAGATATCTTGAAATTTTTTTTCTCGGTCCCATAGAGTTCGAGATAACGAGGTTTGACTGTATATTAATATTAACTCGGTATAAGGCTAGTTGACCTTCATTGGGATCATTGACTATTATTCCTTAAAAAAATAGAAGTTAATGGGCGATTCCTGTCAAATTTTGCACCACGAAGTATGCTGGATTTTTTGTTCACATTTCAGTTATAATTTAGATTTCTTTTGTAAATCATTATCATTGCAGCAAAATTTACAATGAGTGAACAGAGGGATAGAGCACCATTCTCAAAAAGGGATTGGCCATTATGGGATTTAAGGTTCCATGGGATTAATAGCTAATTGTTTTGAACTATTGTTGTGTACTAACATGTAATATTACTTGTAATTAGTTTAATATGCTTGTTTTATTTTTCTGTGAAGTGTATGCACAATTAACAAGTTTGGAACTTTTGAACTTGGGTAATAGGCTGAAAAGAACTTGCAGTGTTAGTAAATTTAAAGGTCCATCAATATATAACACAGCTTGAAGACACACTTTGTTGTTTGCAAATTCAAATATCTGGAAAAGGTGCAGCACCATGCTGGGGAAAAATATGTGATGTTATAAACTGCAAATTTAAATCCCTATGCAGTAATAATGTATTATCAACAAATCCTTATTCATGCATGAAGCAGCCAGTCTCAATTTTCCCATAAATTTCATGTAAAAATACATAAAAGTGTATTTAGATATACACTTTTGTATATATTAAATCTGTTCATAGACACATGAATATATTTTTATGGTCCCACCTGAGGTAATACTCAGGGCATGTAGTGTTACCTGTTTCCATGCATCCATCATTCTGTCATTCCATCATTCTGTCATAGTTTTCTGGGCTTTTTTGGGGGGTATGCTTGTAGACAATGAGTTCATTTTGGTATATATTAGGCCATGAAAAATTAAATAATAGTTTCTCAGGCCAAAAATTTCAAAATTCAATGTGGCAGGCAGGTTGGTTGGTTTGTTTGTTTGGTTTTTTTTTTTATAGCAGTGTTATACCTTTTTTTCATGTCAGTCATTCAACAAAATGATGATATCAACTTATTCTAACTTTTTGTTCTCTTAAATTTATTATAATATGTATTTAACTTTAAATAATGTTATTCTAAACAAAGTTAATTCATAAAATACTGTATTAACAAGAAATGTTCAGTTTATCTAATAAAAACATCTATCGATTAGCATTTATGAAAAGGGGAATAGCTCAATTTTCTTTTTCAACTCGGAAAAATAGGAAATTGAGTTATTTCCCTTTTCAATATGTCAATAAAATTGTTCAATGTGGCAGTGTTTGACCTGATGCGGTGGTGCCTGAGACACAATTGATTAATTTTTTTGGCCTTACTTAATATAATGACTTACAGTTTTTACAAAAGTTATAGCCCTTGGACTTTGAAAATTTCTAATAATTCACTGTTTTCCACACTTTTTTTGCTATGCTTGTAATGACTTCATTTTAGGTACAATATGTCTCTTGATATTGATGACTTGCAGATCAAGTTCTCATTTCTTGATGATTGACCCATTTTTATGAAAGTTATTGCCCTTAGACTTTGAACATTTCTAATAATTCACTGTTTTCCAAACTCTTTGCTATGCTCAATGTAGACAATGAGTTCATTTTGGTATGTTTATTGATATTGATGACTTGCAGGTTTGAGTTTCATGATGATTTACCCATTTTTATGCCCCCATAATTGAAGATTCAGGGTTATATAGTTTGTGGTTTGTCTTTTAATCTGTTTGTCTGCAAAACTTTAACCTTGCCCATAACTTTTGAATGGTTGGTGCTAGGGCTTTCATATTCACATGTGACAAGACCTTTCTTTTGGTACCAACATATTTGACCTCTTGACCTTGGAGTTGACCTATTTTTGCAAAAATTTACCAAATTTTAACCTTTGCCATAACTTTTGAACAGTTGAAGCTAGTGTTTTTATATTTCATATGTGTATTCCATGCATCCAGACCTTTGTTTGGGTACCAACATTTTTTGACCTCGGCCTTGACCTTTGAGTTTGACCTACTTTTGAAATTAATTAATCTTGGCTACTTTTTAACATTGGGTGCTAGGACCTTCATATATCACAAATATATTTCTTGTGACAAGACCTTTCTTTGGATACCAACATTTTTGACCTCAATACATGATGTTGATTTTGGAGTTTGATCTACATTAATTTTGAAAAAAAACTTTAACCTTGCATATAACTTTGACTGTTGCTGTTAGCGTTTTCATATTTCACTTGTGCATTTCTTGTGACAAGACCTTTCCTTTAGTATCATTTTTTTTTCACCTCATGACACTCATGGGTTTCAACATTTTTGAACTCTTGACCTTGACCTTTGAGTTTGTTCTAAATTTGAAAAACTTTAACCTTTGCATTGATTGATTGTTTTACGTCCCATTCTAGAATTTTTCAGTCATATAGAGATGTCACCATATACCGGTGAAGGGCTTCAATTTTTGACCTTTACTCGGCACTCAGGGCCATTGAGCAGTGAGGGATCTTTATCGTGCCAACGCCTGCTGTGACACGGGGCCTCGGTTTTTAAGGTCTCATCCGAAAGACCCGCAACTTTTACTTCAAAGTGCCGAGCTCATTGCGAAGGAACAGTTGCTACCCGTTTTTTATCCACTAAGGTCAGTCGCGGCCGAGATTCAAACTCATGACCTCCCAATCACAAAGCTCTACTCTACTGACTGAGCTACCGTGAACGGCAACCTTTGCATTGAGCTGCCTTATATGGGGGCATCATTTTTTTTGTTTTCATACCACCGCAAACGAAGTTTGGGGGGGTATATAGGAAATCACCTTGTCTGTCTGTCTGTGCAAATGTGACCGGTCCATATCTTTCTTATGGAGGAACATTAGAATCTACTACTTCACTTAAAGATTAGAATCTACTACTTCACACAAAGGGTGTGTCATGACCTTGACTCAAGGTCATTTGGGCAAGTTCAAGGTCCCTGGAAGAAAAAGTTCATAATTCGTGTCCGGTCCATATCTTTCTTATGGATAAATTTGGTGAGTTCCCATTTTACACAAAGATTGTTTATGACCTGAGGGTGTGTCAAGGCCTTGAGCCAAGGTCATATGGGCAGTTCAAGGTCACTGAAAGAAAAAGTTCATAATTTGTGTCTGACCCATATCCTCATATGGATAAATTTGGTGAGTTCCCATTTTACACAAAGATTGTTCCTGACCACAGAATGTGTCATGACTTTGACCCAAGGTCATTTGTGCAAGTTCAAGGTCACTGAAAGAAAAAGTTCATAATTCGTGTCAAGTCCATGTCTTTCTTATGGATAAACTTGGTGAGTTTCCATTTTACACAAAGATTGCTTATGACCTGAGGGTGTGTCATGACCTTAACCCAAGGTCATTTGTGCAAGTTCAAGGTCACTGACAGAAAAAGTTCATAATTCATGTCTGGCTCTATATTTCTTATGGAGAATTGGTAGTTTCCACTTCACACAAAGATTGTGTATGACCTGAGGGTGAGTCATGATCTTGACTATAGTCACTGTAGAAAAAATGGATTAATAATGCATCCATACTTTCCAATAGAGGAATACTTGAAAAATTGTTATTTATTTTTTCAATGTAATAAAAAAAAATGTTATCATAAGAATTGATGTTTTATTGGGCTGCGCCTTAGTTTCATTCATTTAAAAAATATAATGAGCAATTACCGGTAAATTTTAAATATTTAAACATATTGTGAACACCTCTTATATCATCAAACACTAGTTTAGTGACTTGGCACCTTCTCTGAAAAAAACCTGCAAGGGGTATTTGTCCATTTTGGACAGTTTTAGTTTTTTTTTTGTTCACAAACACATTTATTTTGAAAGTGATTGCCCTTAGATTTTGAAAATTTGCAATAATTCACTGATTTCAGGAGTTTTTCATCTGTACTTGTTCATGAAGAGTACTTCTTGGACTTTCACATGTTTAAAACTTGCACCTCAGTGGGGGCATTCATGTAACCCTGATGTATCTAGGTTTTCTTTATTCAATGTGAATTATTATTCCATGATGGTAAAAAAAAATAAAAAATACAGAGAAAATTCACCAGCATGTGCTTTATACTGTATATGTATGTTTGAACATCCTTTATAGTGTGTGAAAGTCATACATTATATCTTTCTATTTACCTACACTGATCTATGTATGTATGTATGTATGTATGTATGTATGTATGTATCTATCTATCGAACAATCAATCGAGAGAGTACATGCATGTGACCATGCAGTATTGTAATACATTTCAATCTCATACTTCATACTTTTAAAAGGTTCTAAGTGGTCTGAGGAAGTAGCATATTGATTTCGCTCTGACTTAGACTGGGTTTTAAGCACTGTCTCGAATTTTACATGTACGTGATGACCTTCATTAAATATCTTCTTATCAATCAAACTAAAGACCATGCAACTAGATCTGATTGACAGGGTTGCTGAAGAATAAGCTTACTTAGACCATATTGCTTTTTGTTTTAATTTGTTTCTTGATTCTTGTTCCTTTGATTTGTCCCTAAAATCTAAAAAAAGAAGAAAAAAAAATCCAGGATGCACCCAACCCTATAGGGTTGACTGATTAAAAGTAATTTATAACTTTTTCTACAAAATGTAGAATTCAAGATAACATTTACTTAAGGATGACTGTTTACTTAGATGACAAAAAAATTTCCACTGATAAGAATGAAAAACCACCTATTGTACATTGTAGACCTATGCTTTTAGTGTTATTATTCACTTTCAAATAAGTAGGTCAATGACCAACTTTTCATGCTAGTGGCCCCTATTTTTCGGAAAATACCTCAATTTTTTACATTAAAACAAATATTTTTTTTTAATTAAAAAAGTATAACAATTAGTAGCAAAACTTTGGCTAATGAAATATTATATAAATGGAAAAGTTTTCTTAAATATTAATAAACAATACGAGTTGAAACTAAATAAACTTATTTATTATTCCAGTCCAAAAATCCTCTGAACATGCATTTTCTAATTTTTACCCATTTTTAGCTCACCTGAGCTAAAGTGAGCTTTTCTGATCATATTTTGTCAGGCGTCCGTCTGTCTGTCTAGCTGTCCTCCTGTCTGTAAACTTTTCACATTTTCGACTTCTTCTCAAGAACCACAGGGCCATTTTCAACCAAACTTGCTACAAAGTACCCTTGGGTTAAGGGGATTCTAGTTTGTTCAAATGAAGGGCTATGCCCTCTTCCAAGAGGAGATAATTACAAATTAGTGAAAAATTAATAGCATTTTTAAAAAAATCTTTTTCTCAAGAACCACTGGAAAGATGAAACTCATGTGGAATCATCCTCAGGTAGTTTAGATTCAAGTTTGTTGAAATCATGACCCTGGGGGTAGGGTGGGGCCACAATATGGAATCAAAATTTTACATAGGAATATGTAGGAAAAAAACTTGAAAAATCACTTCTCAAGAACAGCAAAGCCATGATTAGTCTTATTGCTATTGAAGCATTCTCAGGTAGTGTAGATTCAAATTTGTTCAAATCATGACCCCCAGGGGTAGGGTGGGGCCATAATGGGGGATCATAGTTTTACATAGGAATATATAGGAAAAAAACTTGGAAAATCTTCATCTCAAGAACAGCAAAGCCATGATTAGTCTTATTGCTATGGAAGCATTCTCAGGTAGTGTAGATCCAAATTTGTTCAAATCATGATCCGCAAGGGTAGGGTGGGGCCACAATGGGGGATCAAATTTTTAGCAAGGGAATATATAGGAAAAAAAACCTTTAAAAATCTCCTCCTCAAGAACAGCAAAGTCATTTGTTATATTGATATGGAAGCATCCTCAGGTAGTTTAAAATTCACCCCCCCTCCCCATTTAAACTTTTCAATACTGGACTGATTTGTGCTTTTTCCTAGCCAATGAGTGATGTGGCCCATGGGCCTCTTGTTAATCTAATATTACAAAAATTTGAATAAAAAGAACTCTAAACTATTTATAGCCTCAGTTTACTTCTGTTGCCCTCATTCTGCTGGTATTAGAATTATATGAGTCAATTACCAAATTCTTGAGATGCGTTGTCTGGAATGGTTTTTGTTCATATTTTTGAAATTTTTCATTGCATGCCATTCAATTAAATGAATTGAAATAATACTTGAGCTTCAATACACGTAATACATCCTTGCCTAAATTGTGTCACAACACAGACTTTGTGTGGTATTCCTCCTTAATTACACTGTAGAATGAGTGTAGGTGCAAGTAAAATTTAGGATGGCTTTTGATCAGGACATTTTACAGAGTTATATATTTGAGTTATAAAAAATGTTCAGTGTGAAAGAATGCCCAACTTTATCAATTTAGTTAACCTCTTGCAATGAGTGCTGTGTCCTTGCTATTTTGCACGATAATTGCTTTTCGCTGTAAATAAAAACAGTACTTTCTCTGATTATAAAAAAATTTATTACTATGTATTACATGTAATTTGATTTTCATTTGAATAAAGTTGTGTACAGATATGATCATATACATGTATGTAATTTAAGTTTTTAGTGATACATGTGTAATTGTTTCCATTGCTTTGCATGTACTGTATATTGATTTAAAATGAAGTGCAATATGGCAGAAATGTTTAAGGTGAGACGGTTTAAAGAATCTCAGTTTTTATATTGTAAATAGGTCTGCAGAATGTTCAGGTACAGCAGATGTGGGCTGCCCGTCCTGAGCCCATTCCAGGCTGCCCTCCTGGGCTAGAGTACTTGACAATGGTGGATCAGCTTCTTGTTAAACAGCAGATTGAGCTTTTAGAGGGTCTGTACATATAGAATGAACCCAGAAAAAGAAATTAATGCTTTTGTTTTCATATGACACATGCTTTAATGTGTTTAGAATAATGACAACAGTCATTTATGATGATGATTGCAATTAAGTTTTCATATTTCTCAACTTTATTAGAACTTGATATCTTTTACATTTCAAGTTAATTGACATTCTGTGGCCAAGAATGAATGTTATAGCTGTAATGATTTGAAATTTATTAATTTTTTTTACACATTTTGTTTTGTAGTTTTCACAGGATGGGAAACTGCAAACAAGTACAAGATTGTAAACACAGGTGGACAACAAGTCTACTTCGCAGCTGAAGGTAAATGGTCTCTTTTTTGACTTGTCCAAATTAGGGATGTAACGATACAGCAATACATCGATTGTATTGATCGGAAGGGCTCATGATATGCATATCGTAACGCCATGTATTTATCATGATACAGTACAAGATAATTTTCATTGTTTTGTTTGAAACTACAAACAAGCTAATAAATTTTAATGTTTTAAAATGGCTGAATAAAAGGTAGCAAAGAAAAACTACAATGTCAAGACTATAAATCCACCTTTTATTAACTTTGGTCAGGGGTATATTTTCTATAACTGGAGGTTTTCAAAGAATAATATGTTAAGATAACAGTTAATTCAATTGTTGACAGCTGTATCATGATACATGTTGTATCGCATGACAGTATCGTGATATGTATCATATTGTTAGGTAGCTTGCAATACTCAGGCCTATATATATAGTCCAAATCAAGTTTTTAAAAGTCCTTAAATTGGATCATCTAACAAAGGACATTTAAAAGTATTAATTTTTTTAAATGTTTGAAAATAACACTTCAGTTTTTAGATATGGAGGAGATCCTAGTACTTACATGCATGTTTTGATTAAGTAGAATTGAAATTGATCGTCACTTTGAGATTGTGTTTAATGACTCATTTTTCAGGAACAGTTGCATTATTGATTATTGCATACATATTTTGTTTTTAGCTTATGATGGATCCCAATGGAAACAATAGCTAACATTATTATCTATGATTAAGTCCCATAAGGCAGAAATCAATAGGAATTAATTAATTCAGTAAATTATTTAAAGGCATGTAACTGGAGATAATACATTTTGATGTCAGATCAGATGCATAATCAGTAAATGTCCTGTCAAATTGATTAACACCATGCAGCTCGACAGAGTTTTGCTGTCAGACTACAGCATACAATTCATGTATCTACAATTCTTCATGGATATGTACAGTGTATTTGCTATACAAATTGTGAAAAGACAAAAGTGAAGACTTAATTTTAGTAGATTATGATCTTTACTTGCAAAATGTTATTGTTCTAATGCATTACCAAGCATGACTTATTATGAACAATAAGAAACCCTTAGATATGTTATAATTTCCATGAAAATTTATGAGAAAAGAAAAAGATGTATTTAATGAATTTGATTTAATAGAATCTGATACCTGCACTCGCCAGTGTTGTGGTCCTAATAGAAGTTTCACAATGCACATCACAGACAACATGGGACAGGTGAGATAATCATAATAATTACAAATTCATGGATGTTAAAATCATCTTTGTTCTAAAATAACAAACACATATATCTTAAATTTGCAAAATGTGTGGATAGCATGGATCCATATTTTGATAGAAACATATTCCAGAACAAATGAATAAAAAAACTTGAATATTATTAAGTCTCTGTAGGTCAATGTAGGATTCATTATGGCTACTTTACCATGTACTCTTCTTGTTAAAGATTGTGTTACTAGACAATTTAGCACCAGTGATTTGCAGTTTGTATACTGATATCTTTAACCTGATTGAAGCAGTATAAATCACGGAGCTTTCTGTATGGTCAGTCAGTACCTGTATCCATTGTATATGTTTTACACGAGGTCATATTTACCCTTTGCTTGTACAGGAGGTGATCAGGGTTACACGAGAGTTTAAGTGTTGTGCTGGGTGCCCATGGTGTGCCTGTATTGACGCTCTGGCCCACGAGATTACTATTGAAGCACCACCCGGACAGGTGGTGGGATATGTCAAACAGGAGTAAGTTATTCTTACAGGCATTATGAGGAGAGGTTGAGAGGATGATATTGTAACTGTGAATCAGCAAATACTGTATTTCCTTTATAGAAGTTCCTTGATTTTCCCAGTTTTGAGATGTTAAGCTTGTTCCATTTAGTTTTCCAATAAAAAATGAATAATGTACTTGTAGCATACAAGATGACAGCAGATATTAGTACTGCATTAAAAGATAATGCATTAGTCAAGTTAGTTCTGTAGAGTCATATTACAAGTCCACCTAATGAATCATGATGTTGAAGAAGACCACTGTATTATTTTTAATATTCATTAGTGATTTCTATGATGAGCTGCCCTTTCTGCTGTTTTATGATATAAGAAAAAATAAATGTTAATTATTCAATATAAGACAATACCTGTACTTTCTGTTTTTTTTAAAAAATTCAGACAGAGCTGGTGTCCACCAAGCTACTCGATACAGGATGCTAATCGCCAGGAGATCTTACGCATCAGTGGACCTGTCTGCATGATTACAGGGCCATGTTGTCCAAATGACATCGACTTTGATGTTAGTATCAACTAGAATATGAAGTTAAATTCATAAGTATTTGAATATTTTTAAATGATTTTTTCTAGCTAGATTAAAAAAAATTCTGAGTGTTAGATCACCTCTATCCTTGTCAACCAAACTTGAGTGTTTAAAAATTTATTTTGATAATAGTTTGCACTTCTAAAATAGAAATAGAACAAGAGATAAAATAAATAAAAGCGAACTAGAAAGTCATTTTAGATTCAGTTCAAAGTCTCCTAGAAGAAGAAAATGTTGCATTTGATTGAATTTCCCTGTGACATGATAAAAGTTTTGACCCAAATGTATTGCATAAACAAGGAAGAGAATATGGCAAAGTATTGTGAAAATTATTTCAAGGTCTTGGCTAAAGATGGAAGCACACCGGTGGGAAAGATCAGCAAGCAATGGAGTGGATTGATGAGGGAGTATTTCACTGATGCTGACAACTTTGGAGTTTCTTGTAAGTTGAGATCACTACATTTTTATTTTGGTAAAAAGAAACTACAGACCTACATCGTTTATGCCTGTAGGTCCTTTATATCTCTAGTTCTGTCATCTGTCCATCCAATGAGGTGTTTCACCTTACTGTTATGCCTTACATCAGTATTTGAGTCAATAGAAGTCAAGGAGATTGGAAATGGAGACTGATTACATGAGAATATTTTATACTATTCAAAGTTGCATTTTGTGGTTTCAGCAGGTAGCAAGTCTAAATTTGGTATCAGTGTTGATTCTGAATGTACCAGGGTATGTAAAACTAATAGGGTAGAATCTAAACTTTGTATGAATTATGGACGAGACAATTTAACATCTGAAAATTTTCCCATTGTAGAAGTAGAAAAGCATGATACTTCAAATGAGTCTCTTTGGATTAATTATTGTAACTGGTACAGAGAATGCTGAGGCTTAAGCTTTTTCTGGTTCATCAAGGTTTATTTAACACCATTGTCTGCAATGAAAAAAAATGTCTGTTTTTGGAGTTACCAATTAGTTCATGATGCTTGATGATTGATTTCAAATTTTATTATTGATATTTTATTTTTGGTTACAGTATGCATTTGATTGATTATATTTACAAGGAATTAGAAATATATAGCTGGAAAATATGATTTTTTTTCTTTGCTGCCCTATGTATTTATAAAGAAAGAGTTTTTTTTTACACATACTGTCAAACCTCATTATCTCAAACTTGATGGGACCAAGAAAAAACTTTAAGATATCTGAGGATTCAAGATATCAGGATAAAATACTGAAAGAATAAGTGGTTGTACCTTTCAGATCACTTCAACATATTATTGGTATTTGAGATATCAGTGTTCGAGATACCAAAGTTCTACTGTAGTTGTATATTAACGTCAGGACATATTCCATTTTTTATAAAGAAAATATATGAATTTCAAATTAACATATTTGTTTCACATTTTAAGTTTCCTTTACATTTCTTTTTCATCATTAATTAAGTCATTACAATCACATTCCTCTAACCCCTACCTTATATATTAAATATATTCCTTAGCAAGACCCTTGCTAACTAGAGAGCAGTTAAAACTTTGTTTTAATTTGTAAAAATTATATGTAACTGCCAAAACTGAAGAATATATAGACATTAGACAATACCTGTACTTAAATGTCTCATAAAAATTAAAGATCATATGGAATTAAAGTGAAACTTTGATTTTTTTTTTTTTTACTGTTGTAGTTCCAATGGATCTAGATGTCAAGATCAAGGCAGTGATGGTTGGAGCAGTGTTCCTCATTGTAAGTTATCTCCCCATTCCTTGCTAAAACAATTGTAATAATAATTATAAAGGTTTAATAAACTAATAAATATGTTATAGATGCATGATTAAAAACTGCTCAGTTTGATTCAAGAGAATTATTTACATCAGACTAATCAGATTTATACCTCTCTCATGCTTACTAAACATTTCTAAAGTGAGTTTTAATTACCCTGCATGTTTAGCACTGTATTTTGATATAAACTATATTATAGATGATGTACATGTAGTTACATGAATTGTGTTAGCATAAGGAGATGGAGAAGAATTTATTCATTCCCATTATGATTTTTACTGATCTCTGTATTTAAGTATTAGTGATGTACAGTTTTTTTTTAACCAGACTTAATTATATAGGGGTAAAAAAATTGTGGCATTTTCGCCTTTTTTACCTACTTGTCTACAACTGAAAACATTATTCTATAATATATATTTTATAATAAATTATATATATATATATATATATATATATATATATATATATATATCTAATAATTATATATATTATAATATATATAAAGTAGATATGTGGAATAACATATGTCAAAGTCAAAAGGGTTTATTTGTCTCTGCTTGGGTCATCAAGTTTGATCAACTTATCATTTTTTATACATTTTGTTGCAGGACTTCATGTACTTTGAGAACAACCAAAATAACAATAACCATCATCACTAGTGTTTGGGCAGGTTAAACACTATACAAATAGGGACAAAATGTCCAGGATGGAAACACTATAGTGGAAACGAGAACATGAAATCCTAAAACCCAGGCTGGGCAAAACAGTTATAACTTACATAAAAAAATGTGTATAATTTGGAGATATACAAACTAGGAGAAACATATTTAGTAAGAACTTAGTAGCATTTTTATCCTCTCTATACTGTTTAGAAGTAAATGTAGTTACAATTTTTTTTTTAAAAATTGAATTTTAGAAAAAGTTATGCATGTATTTTAGAAATTAGCTGCAGTGTACAATATTGGCTTGTTTAAGTCATTTTATTAAGGAAGTACTGTAAATGTATTATTCATGAGGGTAGAGAATGTTAAAAGATTTATCCATGATGTACCACAATATTATATGATTAGAGCAGTGTTCTAGTTTTTTTTACATACATGTATAATTGTATATACCGTTGTTTGACATTATTGTATGACTCCTAAATTTCAACTCTGATTGGCTAATATCCCCCTACATGGGAATAATATTATGCTTCCCTCACATTCTGTTGATATCTTCATCTTTTTTCATTTGATTAAATGAAAAAACTGTTTTAATATGATACAATACAATAGTTAGTGGCCTGTATTTTGTCCATCCAATCATTTAGCTACCTTCAGTGACCTCATCCTTCAGATTCATTGATTATTCTCTTTCTCTAGTAACTAATTATAAATGACTATTTCTCAAACAAGTCAGTATAATATTGGAGTATTATATCATAGTTTTAGGCATACAGTATATTAACTGGGAATTAAATATAGGAACTTTTGCTTGTGTTAAAGCTGAGCTAAAGTTCCAGTAATATTGGTGCATCTAATTGGTGTTCATTGTTAAGTAAGAACTTATTAGTAAAGTTTCAACAGAAACTAATGTTTATATGTTCATTTTAGAATTTTGTCTACTGTGGTTTAGCTTGAAATCTTATTTAAATACAATGTACATATCAGGACCAAAGAGCTAAAAAAACATTAAAGTATTTCATGTTGGCTTTGTTTGTTGTTGTATGATTACGATTTAATCTTGAATGTGAAAAAATTATAAATGTTAGCCTGTTTCTTTTACGTAATAGTTTATATAAACATTCATAATTTCCAAAAAGACATATTTTCAAATGAATGATTTGGGCTTAATTCAATGTTGACCAAATGAATTCAATGTTGACCAAATGAATGTAATTGTCATTTTTACTGGTTTGTTTTCTACTCCACGTATTTTAGCCTCCTTTATAAAAGAGATTTTGTATGTGTTATTCTGAAGTACAGCATCCACTTCATATGTTTACTCTGAAACTAAGTTGATTCATTTTTTTTATCTTTCTCTGGAATGATTTCAAGAAAAAATAATGAAGAAAGGTACAAGTTTACAGCACGTGACAAAATTATCAGGGATATTCCATGCAACAACCAATTCATTCTAAATGCACCTTTCACATGAATACATGCACATAATATGCAATTAAATGTAACTGAGGATTTTGTCTTTATTGTCATCCTTTTTTGTTAGAAATCAATGAAAATGCCTTAATAAATGTACAAAGCCTTGAAAAATACATTCCTGGCATGATCTACATCCCTTCCATAAGCTGGACATTAACTGTGATTAACCTGTATAAATGAATTTGTCACCTTTGTTTCATGTGCTGTTGTGAATTTTTTCTTTTATTTTATTTGGCATGTCACTTTGTATTTCCATTCTTTAATTGGAGTTTCTTATTTCTTAACATAATTGATATACACTGTATTCTAACATAGATATTTGGTGTTTTGTAAAAAAATATTTTACTTTCTACTGTATCATGTGAATTAACCCAGTATTACTAATGGCATTATTATTTATTGGTCTTTCAAAATGCTGTAGCAATGGGCTGTTAATTAGTTAATGAATTTGTTAAATTATTGTCCACATGTAAAGTCCCTAGCTTTAGTGTGTGAAATCACTATCAGGCTGATTAACCACAAGAAAGGTAGCAAAATGAGTAATGCTGCTTTTGTCAAATTTCAAATTCACCAAAACCATTATTTACTGCATCTGATAAAAATTAATTTAGTCAGGAATTTTTTTTTATCTCTGAGAAAGTTTTTTAAATGGTGATCTACTTCAGAATTAATATTGTAAAGGTTATTCTTACTGTATCATATAACAGGGTTTTATTGTATATTGAACATGTGTACCGGTAATTGATTTTTCCCCCTATTATTTTGATTTTAAAATGCATTAATTGTGTATTGGTAGATTGATAATATGAATTGGAGTTTATTTTATACTACAGTAGACCTTAATTGTTTTAGTCTTTGTTGTTAATATAAAAATTATTTTAAAAAAAATGCCTGCTCATCTTTATTCTTCATTGCTAGTTTTTCTTACTGTTAACTATAGTGACTATACAGTTCTACTTTTCAGTTATTTATAAGGAATGCTCTGATTTGAAATTGATTGCACAATCTGAAATATATTAACTTAATTTCAGGACTTGATTAAAACTAATATGATGTACTTTTGACACTTTTACACAGCTAGTTGGAAATATACGGGTGCCAAAAAACGACGATTTCCTAACATCCAGACATGTCTTAAACTTATTGGAACCCGACACTCTTAATGAAGTATTTGGTCAATTGCTTATGTATCACAACTGGTTACAGTACTTCGGCGGTATTGATAGTACAGTGTACATGTCATTTCATATTAGCAATAAGGCCCGCCTTGTCAACTGTTCACCTCATGCATAAATCAATATCTTTGAGCTTCATTTGGTTTTAGTTTGGATTTAATGATTAGATCACCTATATTCTTATGTTTACTGTATGCAACTACATGTATAGGAGGTGTTGTGATCAAGACTTTGCATACTTCGTCATGTTGTATGTAATCCCAATATTTCATTAGTTGTTTCCTTAACCTCTTTATATTTGGGTTGAGCTTGGGGACCAAAACGTTGGATACAGCTTTATTATCCTTTTTCTTCTTTAGTTTTTTTGAGAAGATCCATTCTATTTGCAGAAAGTGTTTCTTGCGTAATCAATTTCTTGATTCTGATTGGTCGACGGAATACAGTTTAAATCATTTGACCAATCAGATAAAGCGTAACACATCCAAACTCTTACAAGGCTGTAAATAGAGAAAATTTTATGTGTCCGTCTAATAAATCGTCTGATTACAGCATGTGAAACACTAAAGATGGGGTTTAGGTTAAAGGGGTGCGTAGACAGAGTGGTTAGTACCTTGGAAATCAGCCTCGAATCGCCCCCCCCCCCCCCCCCCATTGTGCATAATTTTTAGCTCTACTGGTCGGAGATCAGAAGAGCTTATGCGATAGTAAGGTGACCGGCGTCCGTCCATCTGCCTGTAAAAGATTTTTCAAAACGCTACTCCTCCTACAGTTTTGGTCTGATTTCAATATAACTTGGCACAGTAGTAGACTACACTAAGATACATAATTTAGTGCATCGGTTTTTGATTTCGGTGAACGGGGTGTTGCCATGGTTACTAAAAATAGAAATTTCTGTAAAAATCCTTCAAAACGCCACTCCTCCTACAGCTTTGGTCTGATTTCAATATAACTTGGCACACAAGTAGACTACACTAAGATACATAATTTAATGCATCGGTTTTTGATTTCGATGAACGGTGTAGCCATGGTTACTAAAAATAGAAATTTCTGTAAAATTCCTTTAAAACGCTACTCCTCCTACAGATTTGGTCTGATTTCAATATAACTTGGCACAAAAGAAGACTGCACTAAGATACGTAATTTATTGTATCGGTTTTTGATTTCGATGAACGATGTTGCATGGTTACTAAAAATAGAAATTTCTGAAAAATCCTTTAAAACATTACTCCTGCTACAGTTTTCGTCTGATTTCAATCTAATTGGCACACAATTAGACTACACTAGTGACTACGTTACATAAAAGTGTATATCGGTTTTTGATTTCAGTGAATGGTGTTGCTATGGTTACTTAAAATAGAAATTTCTGTGAAATACTTTCAAAATGCTACTCCTCCTACAGTTTTAGTTTGATTACAATATAACTTGGCACACAAGTAGACTACATTAAGATACATGATTCTATTTATTGCTGCATGTTGCAAAATTTCAAATCCAAGTGCTACTTTTCCCTTGTTATACGTACAGACCAGTAGAGTACAGTCTCATCAGAGACTTCTGGTTGTTTCTTACCTTGTATATTTTTATTTTGCCGTAAATGGCGAATTTTAAAACCTTATCAAAAGTACAAACCAATTGCACAGAATGACATACACATAGAACTGACGGAGAAATCGCTTATTTTCGAGAAAATAGACACCTTTTATTTTATTAGTTAGTTGGGGGGGGGGGGGTGATCCATGCTTCAGGCGCCTGTTGCTAAATATGCTTTCTCGACAGAATGTAGTATATATAATTCATCAAATTCCATGTTTGTGTACATGCTGGTCACATTATAAGTAACCAGGATGACATTTTCTGGTACATTCAGAGATTCGATTTTTTGTCTTGACGTGTCTTTGATGTATGAATTTTGTTTCTGAACAATGGGCACAAGGATATTGTGCATATTGGAGATTTATGTTAGTCAACACTGCTCGTTGGGTTTTTCTAAATATATATATTCTTCGTTTGACCAACAAATACTTGTGCGTTGTCTAAAATATCACAGATTTCCACTGTCCCTTTAACGTCCAATTTTTCATTCTTGACACGTACGATATTGTCAAAATTTTAAACAACATATGGTGTCTATTTAGCCTTTAGGAAAGAGTTCTAATAGATGTAATTAGAATATAAAATCTTCCGACAACGTGCATTATATGTAATAACTCTTCATATGGCACCTGTGCTAAAAAAGTGCAACGCGACTTTTTATACAAACGTTGAACGTGATCGATGCCAACAAATTTCCAATTGAATTTGATAAAAAAAAAATAATAATAATTGGACGAAAATAAAAAAAAAACATAAAACAACGGGGCGGGGCATTTTGAGAGGGGCGGGCGGGGCCATAGGGAGTTATGCTATAAAATTTTATTGCAAAAGCCCAAAAGCCTCTTGAGATATCGCTCGAAAATGAAGACAAAATGTATGAATTTACGACCTTGACCTTTTGACCTTAAAATCAATAGGGGTCTTCTTTAGGCCTCGGGGGTTGTGGTAAAAAAAATTCATTGCAAAAGCCCAAAGGCTTCTAGAGATATCACCCGGAAACGGAAGTGTGAGACCGAATTTATGACCTTTGACCTTTTGATCTCAAAGTCAATATGGGTCTTTTTTTTAGGCCATAGGGAGTTCTTATGTAAAATTTCATTGCAAAAGCTTAAAGGCTTCACGAGATATCGCGCGAAAACGGAAGTGTTACAGACGGAAAGACAGATCCAATCAGTGAAAGCGGGGGACAAAAAGCTATATATCTTTTTTGAATAAGTTTTTCTATTATATTACAAATGTAATAAGTTTCACTATAAACCCTAAAGAATGCTGAATCACACCGGAAACAGTTATGTCACACGCCGGAAACGGTTATATCACCCGACAGAAACAGTTATAACACCCTCTCGATCACTTTTACGTGTCTTTATGTTATGCATTTGTAGCTCGGGTTCGAGAAGTGATGGGGAGGGTGTTATAACTGTTTCCGTCGGGTGATATAACTGTTTCCGGTGGGTGACATAACTGTTTCCGGTGTGATTCAGCATTCTTCAGGGTTCATAGTGAAACTTATTACATTTGTGATGTAATATAGGAACACTTCTTCAAAAATGTTATATAAGCAATTGACCAAATGCTTCATTGAAAGTGCCGGGTTCTAACAAGTTTGATGTTAGAATGGTGTCTTCTTTTTTTGTTTTTGTTTTTTTTTTTTTTTTTTTGTTTTTTTTTTTTTTGCACATGAATTAGTTGTGATATATAAGCAACTGACCAAATGCTTCATTAAAAGTATCGGGTTTTAATAAGTTTTAGATATCTTTGGATGTTAGGATGCCGTCGTTTATTTGCACCAGCTCACCTGAGCTGAAAGTTCAAGTGATCTTTTCTGATAACGTTTTGCCTGTCATCCGTCTGTAAATTTTTCCACAGTTTCAACCTCTTCTCAAGAAAATGTGGGCCAATTTCAACTTAACTTGCCACAAAGCATTTCTTGATGAAGGGGATTCAAATTAATTCAAATGAAGGGTTACGTCCTCTTTCATTGGGAAATAATTAAGAATAAGTTAATATTTAAAGTCATTTTCAAAAATTTTCCGAAGAACCATTGGGCCAGAAAAGTTGAAACTTATGCAAAAGCTTCATTATATAGTGTATATTTAAATGTTCAAGACAAGACCCCGGGGATAGAGTGGCACAATCCTCACCTGAGTCACTATAGTCCTGCTACTTCTTTAGATTTCCCCCAATATATTCCTATGTTAAACTTTGATCACCTGCTTTGGCCTCCTCCTACACCGGGGGCCATGACTTGAACAAACGTGAATCTAC